AGATCTCTGTAACGTATATCAAGATCTCTGTAACGTATATCATGATCTCTGTAACGTATATCAAGATCTCTGAAACCTATATCAAGATCTCTGTAACGTATATCAAGATCTCTGAAACGTATATCATGATCTCTGTAACGTATATCGAGATCTCTGTAACGTGTATCAATATCTCTGTAACGTATATCATGATCTCTGTAACGTATATCAAGATCTCTGTAACGTATATCAAGATCAAGATACCGACAATTCTAAATATACTAACGCCTCAACAACGGATGTGATATTTTCATAATTTTAGGAAATGCAACACGAGGAGGTTTCAAACATATTTTACTGACATTTAACAGCCAAAGAGATTGGCACAAAGGGAAGATTATTGGTTCTTTAACAATTATTTTGAGCTTCACGAACTTTGTGAATATTTCAAGAACGTGATACATCCGTCTTAAAAGGAATATATACGTATCCACTTTGTATTTATATGGCACAGCTGGTTGTTAAAACCGTAACTCATCATCACTAATACGCGGCTCATGTCGGAATTCAGCACGATATGTGGTATCAATTACATAGCGAATATACATAGATAAATGTTCTCGGAACAATTGAATGTCGTTATTCAGCAGGATTTTAGTGCGAAAAACCCGAATAAGTTCATAAATCCTAATCAGTGTGCCTACATGTAGATCACTTTACGAAAAGTCACTTACATTTTTGGAATACATAATTCGCGTTTCAGTCCGTATGAAGCTGTTAGTATTTTTTTGGTTATATTTGTAGGCACATATGACGTACTTGCCCTCGGGAGAACTTACATTTTTTATATATTGAATTGGTTTCTCATGATGCAATCGATTTTGAAAATTAACAATTATTTAAGAAAAAAATGACAAAAAGTAAACCAGGAGTATAAAGTATAGCAGTGTCACAGGGACCAAGCTTAACCTACGTCGATAAAATACCCCAGGAACGGATAAGTAATAAATTCAACAGGTCACGCGCTCACAACAATCTGGAGAAATAACATGGCGCTCTGGAATTGTAAGCTTTTCCTGTCACCACCTGTGGCATCCCGCGGGATGTCTTCTGTCACCGTATGTGGCACCCATCATAATGTATCGTCTACATATGAGGCACCCGTCAATATGTCTTCTGTCACATTATGTGACATACGTCGTTTGTTGTCTCCTGTCACCACATGTGGCACCCGTCAATATGTCTTCTGTCACATTATGTGACATCCGTCGTTTATTGTCGCCTGTCACCATATGTGGCACCCGTCAATATGTTTTCTGTCACCACATTAGACACCCCTCATGATGTCTCCTGTCACAACATCTTGCACCCTTTATAATTTTCTTGTCACCCTATGTTGCACCCGTCATGCTGTCTTCTGTCAAGCCCAGTATGTATAGTTGACCAAGTATTTAAGACCAAGCCTTCAATTGGGATAAACACTATCAAATCGTTATGGCAATCTTGATAACTGCATAACTGTAAATCTAGTTGAAGTTTTTATTGATGAACTGATGACGTTTATATCTCTGAATACAAGATACGAGAAAGTTCTGTAGTACCGATTAAACTGTACCATGTAAAGTCAATCCACATGGGAAACTGGTGTGTTACTACGGCAGAAAGGAACGTTGCCTCATGGGATTTTCCACTAGTCACATTTGTCAAAGAGTGTGGTTCAATGAACTTCTTTTTTTTATGTTTTCAGCTCTGCAACAGGATATAATCGGAAACTCACCGTAATGAGCCTGTCAGATCAGTGAGAGGTTCTGTAATTACTCCGAAACTTACTGTTTCGATTCGAGAGTAATTTGATATTTTTATTTTTGGAGCAAATGGTTGATCGTGACACTGTGGTACTCGTGGTTTCCTTCAACATTAAGGCTCCCGCGGGCTAACATCCGGACCAACAAAAATGATTGATATAACTTAAAATACCTTATTTCATAATTGTTTTGTAAAATAAATAAAGTTACTTTATTCTCGTTTTGCAGATTGGAAGATAGCCACCATCTGCAGTGTGGTGGCCGCCGCGTTTTCGGTGGCCAGCGTATTTGCATGCAGGTTTGTATTTCGGTGAAAGTGGTAAACATGATACCTTTCTCGATCATACCAATGACGATAGTAAGGATAGAGTTGCATCATACAAACAAATTACTGACCCGCTTTTGATCGACAACGGAAATCAGCCCGGATATTCATTGTCTTCAATCATACTGACGAACCATACAAACGGATATGATGACTGGCAACGTGTAATCATGAGAAAATTAGGGTAAAAAGACGCATTCTTTATTATTACCGATCGATCAAAAAACCGTCAGTTTGTCTGAGGTTGAGCAATATTGTGAAACTTCAGGATTCCTGTATCACTGCCAGAAATGTAAATATGAATTGGAGATGATTTGACTGACATGACAATACTTTAATTTTTTTTATTTTTTTTTATTTTTTTATTTTTAATTAAATGTTAACAAATGAGAAAAATTGAATAGAATAAAACTAATATCACTAACAGTGTTCTGAGAGTAAAACTACAATTCTTGAGTATGAGAACGGTTTTATGAATACGGGCCCAGGATTCGAACCCTAGAAGAACTCCAATCACAATACGGTCACTCTAACCAACAAAACGACCTGATCAGTGGTAATCCCCAGACACACCACATATATATCATTAAAGNGACGTAAGTCATACATATAAGAAATAGAGCGCAACGTTTATTTATATGCGCTACAGCTATAAACCTCAATAAGTGTACGTCACTGGTCACAGTTCTCCTATTTATCAATATCTCTTACTTCTCTTATTTGTAGGTTGCATGCTTGTTCCAGTAAATCAATGTGATGTTATTCATTAAATAGACATTTAATACAACTCTGTATCGCTTTATGTACTTTTTTCATTTCTCCGTTATTAACTTGAAGGTAATGACATTTCAGCATGATTGACTACCATAATCATGTTCTCAATCAGTGTTGTCGTTTGACATCAAAGATAGCTAAACATATTTATTAGATGACGCATATTTGTCCTATATTGGTTGGATCATAATCACGTGGAGGTTGGTAAAACAGGATTCTTACTCAGTGTTACTATTTCAAGAATCAGCAAGTCAATATTCACTTGATGGCTTCATTTCAATTGTGACGTCAAAAGGCTCCCTACAAAATGTAGTACTTTCCTTCGTATTTTTTTCGCATGTTCCACCATGTTTAATTATAAACACATTATTTAACATCTAATATAACAATTAAATACTTTTATTTTGGTGAATATGTCGTTATGTTGACCCGAGAAAAAAGACTGATTTTGACCTCGAATTCGTCTCGGTCGATATTACTTTCGCAGGTCCATATAACCCCATCTTCACCCCAACAAATGTCTATAATTTATATATATATATATATATATATATATATTCTTTTTTTCTAGGCATTATCTCTACGAACAAAAGCTGGCCCGACTGTTGTGGAAAATAGAGTACAAAGACTTAATCCTAGTGGATTCCGTCAATGATATCATTCCGCCCGCATGTCCAAAGGTTGGTTGTATGGAGGATATGAAAAGTTTGATACGTTTAATTGAACATCATAATATTTTTTAACATGTAACTTAAGTTACTAAAAGTTGGATTTCATCGGGAGGGCGAGACTTGTCTATATCCTAACCTTATATAACTGGACAGTACTTTAAACCAGTTTGGTTTTCAACCCATTTTAGTTATCTAAAACACTTTTTTTAAACTTAAAAAAGATAGCAACAGTGACCTTGGCGTTGTCTTAAAGACCCTGAAATACTAACTCATTCAAAGTTTTCTCCTAGCTACTTGACCACTTTGATAAAAATAATTAATTGCGATGCAACGGAACGGGACGGAAATGGGTAACACTATATCCACCCCCGCTTCCTCCGCTACCCTCTTAAATGGCGGAAACATACAATTGAATGATTGCATCAAAACTCAAGCAAAATCACTTCTCTTAAGAATGTTTTTACTCTTTTAGCGCAAATCCACGAATCCGTGGAGGTTCCTTATATCCAGTGACGAACCGGAAAGAGCAACATTACTTGGAAACACTAAGGGAGATATGAAAAATGGTGAATCCAAAAAATCAATTATCATTGGATCATTAAAAGGAACAATTGTGGCAATAAAGCATATTTATAGAAAAAATGTGGACATTAATCGATCCTTAAAAAAGCAACTTCAGTTGCGGAAAGAGCTAAACCATGACAACATCAACAGATTCATTGGTGCCTCCGTCGATCCTCCCCGAGTCTACATCATCGCTCAGTTCTGTGCGAGGGGCAGTCTAGCGGTAAGAATGCATAATCTTACTTATTATATATATATAAATAAACAAATGCTGCATGCCGGGAAAATTTCAAGAGACAAATTTATTGTCATTTACCGTTATGAGCCGAATTAGCAAAGTGTGAAATTTGGCTTGCACATGAAATTTCTGAAAATTGTATGCTGGATACTAATTCCGTCTTTGCGTATTGCAGAGTTATCTTCTCTTGTGAGCAGGAATTGATTGTAACGTCATTGGTTTGTGAGAGTAACGTGATCAATTTTTGAGAAAACGACGTAATTGTCTCACACAAACCAATGACGTAACAATCAATACCTGCTCACAAAAGAAGCTAACTCTGCAATACGCAAAGACGGAATATTCGCTGTCATGTTAAATAGCCCTCATAACGTAAGGCGAACAAGTCGAAAATTTAACCGAAGTGAAACCTTCCTTGTAAGTAAGTCTCATGAGGTGTGAAGACTTTAAAGTCGAATCTAGGAACTTGGTCGAAACGAAATTTTCCGATTCGAGACTAAATATAAGGAGTAAGGACCCAAATCGGTCCAGTACAGAAACCGGATCACTCTTTGTAAAAATACTTCTAAACCAATAAATGTGTAAACTGTTAAGTTATAACAATAATGTATTCTTATAGTTCATATTAATACTTCATATTAAGTGTAAAGATGATTCCTTTTTAAGTTCATAATAGCAATAGAAGATGTGATTCAAACTCAAAATCTAGTTTTTGTTTACATTGTAAAAATGGCGACTTCTAAGGATTACGTATTTTGTTTTTGGACTGCAGGAACAATTTCAGACTATAGACATACTTGTATTCATACAAATTCCAAAGATCATCTATCATAAAAGGCTAAAATGCTGACAAGGAAATATTCATTAAAAGTGGAGAATATTGCAAAATACAAGCTGTGATCCGTTTAGGGTTTGCAAAAGTGTTCTATAAATATCTCATGTGAGCCCTGTGTGATTTTTATGTTAGTGAGAGCACTCATCAATATTTTTTTTTTTTAAATAGACATAAGCTAATATAGTGCGTTTGCTGAATTTTCAACGAATGAAGAAAACAATGGTTTGGTGATCCATTTTCGCTACTGTAACCTTGTATTTGTATCTCAAATGTGTTCAAAGTACAATTTATGGCATCAAAACTAGTCTTAGGGCGTTGGAGTTAAGCTATCATTAACTTACACATTAGTTTTCAGACATGAAGCCCACTCAGAAGTTGATGCAACATTACCTCTTTTGTTTTCATTTCGTAAGAAACATTTCTGATTATTTTCTGAAAAAACCCAATATGCAGCCTCAACAAATTGTTCTCATACAAATGTAAAACATCTTTCCGACTTGTTTTGAAGCATGAAATATGTGGATTTCTCCTGACGATATCTAATTATTTAATCCGTATCACACTTTTCATCTGATTGGTGTTGCAGGATATCCTACAGAATGATGATCTGCACCTTGACGATATGTTCATAGCATCTTTAGTAGCAGATCTGATTAAGGTAAGATCGTTTACTTTTAAACATTTAAAGATTAATCAACACTGTCACTCCCTTAAGATGTAGACAGGGAAACCTCAAAGTCAGGGATGATATATTTGAAGATATATTTGTGCAAGATTTACCGAGTGCTAAACTTCAGAAATCTTATCCCGAGGGTTGAAATTTCTCTGTCTAAATCACACAAGGGTTATTGATTATTTTTCTTCAGCACTCTCTTAAAGTAGAAATCATCTGTGATGGTTATCAGAATACATCGAACAATCATCAAAGAGGCATTAAATGCGTGATAGAATTAATGAAGCGACCTTGGTTACGCCCAATAGAGCATTTAGGTGATGGTGACATTTTCAAAAATAATAGCACGTGAGCTGTGTGTCCCTAGGTAGGTTAAGACAGGTTTATAATTTCCTTAGCAAAAAAAATTGTTATCACGCATTCATTTAATCTGTAAGCGGTTTCATTTTTGTTTCTAATTGTTATACAGCACGATCTATCGCAGTTCATTGACATTTCAAAAATCCAATAAAATCCTACAGGACCATTAAGTTTAAATTCAAGAAATCTTAACACTCAGAAACTAAGCTGCATATATACATGTACATGTCATTATGTCAAATTAAATGTTTTTTTCTCATCATTGAAAGTCAAAATATATCAATTTTTAGTCATGAGGCATTTCACCCTTCTTTTTTCACAATTCCGATAACAAATACCACTGAATGATGAACAGATATCTGCCCAATATACTTTAATATACCAATAATACTTTTGTCACCCATTTTCATCATATCTGATGAAAAAACACCATAATGCGATTAAGGTTTGTAACTGTTCTATTTCTGTAACACCTACTGCTACATCATTAAAGCTGTATTAAGCTGCCTTTCCTCTGGTTACTGCCTAATGTAGAAATTCTATATCATAAAAAGCATTAGTGTTAAACAGCATACTTCTGCTAATAAGCTTTTAGTGAACCGTACATGGTACTAAGCCGAACTTGATAATACAATTCCCTCGAGGATATAAATTGAATTCAACATTGAGAAGCTTTTATGACTATATACGGTAGTGGTGACCAACATTTACTAGATCATTTGTAATTTCGAAGCTTGACACGGGGAAATTATTGTTAATGTCAAACTTATTATTTACCAGAATAATTTATCTTTTATGCTGAAAAAAAAATTCAGTTAATTATAAGCTACACTGTATATATTGATAGTTAATAAAAAATTAGAAAAGAGCACGTTTTGTTTGCTTATAAAAGAATTTTGTGAACAGATGGATTTTAAATGTCCTGTTAACGGCTGCTAAAGCTAACCATACTTTTTATCACATGACGAGAGTTAATGAACACCGTTATTTCCTTTCTACCGGATATCCCTCTAGTCCCATTGCGATCGTATGTTAAAATAAGACCATTCGTACCTACTAATAGGATGGTCTTTTTCATGTAAACAATCATTGATCCGGTAGTAAATGACGCAAAATATAATAGATTATCATAAAAGACATGTAAGTAGCGTTTACGCTGGCTGGAAGCTTTAAATCAATTTAATCAATGACCCAAGTGAATTTAATGATGTAATTTTACCTTGTGTATAGCGTCAACAAAGTGTATCGTTTTAGACTAATCTAAGTGCTCAACGGACACAATACTACCACCGACGTCATACAAGGGTGATTCAGTTGCCGGTCGATACTGTCATTTTTTAGTGTAATGAATTGTTAACACTTCGAAATACAGTGTAAACAAACACTTCTTTTTTATTCTGTATTTTTTTTTAATCCATAAGTTGTAATTATAAGTTAATATCAAAGTTCGTTTAGCACAGTTAATTGTTCTTTTACTCGCTACGTACCTTTTTAAACTGTACGTCACAACCCTTTTATTTTTGTTATACAAATAAATCATGATAAATGTTCGCGAAATGTGTGGATATATATGGATTTTGAATTGTTTCTTGAAATTTAAAAAATGCAGATATGCAATGACCTCTATAAATAGAACCATCCTTCAAACCACAAAGTTCCGAATTGTCTTGTCATCGATGGAATTTTCATATCGTTCCATGAAATTACAAAGTTCTGAATGGTTTTGACCCCCTTATACATGATGCAATCATTTTCTTGGAATTATAAAGGTTCGGAAAGTTTCGACATCGACAGATTTTCAGTTCGTTAATTGAAATTGCAATGGTCCGAAATGTTTTAAGCATATACATATCATCAGATTGTTCCCAGGAACAACTAAATCGTGTAATATCTTAAGATCCATGCATGTTTTTATTTCTCCAAATTTCAAAGTCCGAAATATCTATACTTCTATACATAAACTGACTCTTCATTATAATTACAAAGGTCTTTTATACATAAACACGTTTGATTTGTTTGTGCCATGCGTTCTTTAAACTGCAATGGTCATTGAAGAACGATCCAGGTTTTGGTTGTAGAGGAAAACTGTTTACCCGAAGAAAAACCAACGACCTGCGGAAAGTACCTGGCGACTGCCCCACGCAGGCCTCGAACCCGCGACCAAGTGCTGGTGGGCTAGATATAGTAGACGGACAGACCCCTCAACCACTTGACCACCGATGCCCTATATCTACTACGCATGGGGAGCTGTTCATGTCCGAAATGCATTGACATCATTAGATGTTAAGATGGTTTCTTTGGGTAGGACATTTCCCAAATATCATTAAAACTATAAATAACCAGTTCATTTACGAAATTAATCATGTAGCTTACATCTTCAATTTCAGGGGATGCTATTCATCCACGAGAGTGAGTTGGTGTTTCATGGTAACCTAAAGTCCAGTAATTGTCTAGTTGACAGTCGCTGGGTATTACAAATAAGTGATTTTGGCTTACACCACCTGATGTATAAGGATACTTCTCCAAAACACGACACAGATACGTATTTTAAAGGTACGTATTTATATTGTAATAATAATAATAATAATTATAGGGTTCTGTACACCGCTTTATCACAACCTAGTTTGTAGGTCGTTTCACAAATTATTATCCGTGGTTATAGGGCATTTGCAACCAGTCAATATCCTTCTCAACTCCACGGTGAGCAGCCATTTAACATTCAACAATTCTAGTTCTGCCTATCCACGTACTCATTTACAGCTGAATAGCCTGGAACAAGCGGAGTTAAGTATCTTGCTCCAAGATACAACACAGTGCCGTGCCGTGAGTCGAACCCGCGACCCTTCAGTCACGAGCCCCGCGTCCTACCACTAGACTACCGTGCCTCTATATTGTGTACCTTTACTACAAGCAAATACCACTCTAGTTACAGAATTTCATTTCTCAGGGCGTAGTAAATGAACATGAGCGAAGCCAAGTCTAGAGCCCCGAATCAGCAGTGTTTCAATCGCTCTTGGCCCGCTTCTAGCAAATTTTGATATTCAACCGTTTTGCCCTTTAAGATTTTATTGTTCGTTTTAAGATCATTTTAATCAGCAAAGCAAGTGATTATATCAGTTGCGGAATTTAAAAAAATAAACCAGTTGCAAATCTAAGAAGTTTCTGGTCATAAAGTACCTATTTTCAATTTTACGAAACATTATCGATAGTTAATCAAATAGATTGGACAGGCTTATTCATATATATGCCAGACATGCCGAGGAAATGTAATCTAAAAGCTGTGTAAAAGCCTCGATATATTGGCAAAAAATGATGTATTCCAAGATGTTTATATCATATCAAAAATAAGAGTAATGCTTTTCCCCTCAAAATTCAATTTGCGGGGTGTGGATGCTTCATCAGACATTCAACTATTTTCGATACAGTATCTATAACTGATGATGTATTATGGCAAATACGGCAGTCACCCTTATGACTTTTACCAATACAGGTTTACTATGGAAAGCGCCAGAACTACTGCGAGACATAAGCCATAACATATTTGGTTCCCAGAAGGGCGACATCTACTCGTTTGCGTTGATTTTATTTGAAACTCATGCACGGAAGTGGCCATGGGAGGACACTGAACTCCCCCCGAAAGGTACAAATATTATATTTCGGTTATCATGAGCACTGACGTTTACTGTTGAAGAAGACTCATAATTTTGTTTTCACTTTGATGAAATTCATGAAATGACGAATGGAGGCGAATTTACCACGATATCAAATATTATCACTCAGCATACAATAAAATAACACCTAGTTAAAGAAAAAGATTTTCACACCGAGTTTATTTTCGTGGTATAGTGTGTACATTTTCCAAAAATTATAAACTTTTGAAGAAAGCTGCAATGTGCGGTTGAAGTTATTTAATATCAACACAAACCAGTTTTAACGTACCACAATTTCCATAGAACCTATTACGCATTAAGTTTTTATATTTTTTTAATGATTCTTTCGTCTTTAGAAATAATCCGCAAACTGCGTGGAGGAGGGGAACACGTGATCAGACCGGATGTAGCAACGCTACGTTGCGAGGACTATATTAAACAATGCATAACCGACTGCTGGACCGAAAATCCGGAAGCTAGGCCCGACTTCAAATATGTACGATACAGACTACGACCCATGCAACAGGGTCTGTGAGTAAATACTCAAATAATTTCATATTCTCTCACCAATAGTAACGTAATAACCTACGCTGCATCCCATTTTATGGCCCTATATTTAATAAGGAAATTGATTTTGGACAGTTTCTGGTATGGCGTTCTATGAATCAAATATCTGGTAATGATTTAGTGTGCTTGCGCACTCATTGTAGTTCATCATTTGATAATTCTTCTGTCTTTCGTCAGTAATTGTGTTCATTGATATATAGACATTTCCATTTCTACCACGTGTGGTCGTCTATAAACTGCATTACTAATTTTAACACTGAAGAGAAAGAAAACGCTCAAAATAATCTACTTTCTAATGTTATAACGCTTACAAAGCCATTTTATTTTTTTCAGTGTGGAATTCGAACAGGCTTGTTTATTATAAGAGCTTAACGGCCGTTCATTGCATATAATGAACAAATTTGATTTATTATTTTCAGAAAACCTAATATATTTGACAACATGCTGGCTATAATGGAAAAATATGCAAATAACTTAGAAGCGTTGGTAGCCGAAAGAACCGAGCAGCTCTCTCTGGAGAAGAAAATGACCGAGAATCTACTGTTTAGAATGCTTCCAAGGTACAAAGCAGTTTAAAGTTCAACTGAACGAGGCACTTGGCATGTCATACGAATAAACATTCAATAAACGTCCATTTAAATGCGTGCTCGGTAAAGTACAAGACAGTTTACTTAATTACATAACAAAGGCACTGATATTCAGGTCTATGGATAGATAGACCACACAAACCGCCTTATGTACACAAGCTGTCAGTGAAATGCATTAAAATGTAAGCCATACCAGTGTAAAGCAAAAACACGCTCCAGTATTGACACAGTAAATAGTTTGCGGAAAAGTAGGGACTGGCTTTAACGTCTTAACTATACAACAAACAAACATGTATTTCGATTACATAATCCGGCGGAAAGTCGGTTCAATACAAAGATAATACTTTGTTGTCTGTCAAATGCACGTGCTGTGTCGTGAAATCAATCGTCTACTAGTAATCAACCTTAAGTGAATACTGTACAGTTTAACTCATTTATCAGCTTGTAATCGTTACAGACAGTTTTTTGGTTTGTGGCGAACAAATTAACATTCTGTATTCCACTGCATGGTGTAATGGTGTGACTAATATCTTTTTCTATATACGCTCTATTAAAAAAACCCACCGGAAATGATACGAAACTAGCGCTGATTTCCTTAAAAAATCCAATGCAATACTAAATATACTAACTGCAAAGTAGTCATGTTTGCGTGTTAACATTTGACATATTTTGGTGTTTGTTTCTTCGACCTATTCACAATGTCAAAATGATAGCATTGACAATGCCTCTGTATAATGTACTTCAAAGTGAGGTATATAGGTTCGCGAATTCCCATTTGCACGAAATATTCACGAGGCAATATATTTTTGTTGTTATACAATGTGATTTTAATCCCCTTAGAAATGGCTTCCGTGCTTTCTGTGTTCCCACAGGGCAGTACATGTCCTATATGCTTTGATGTCATAAGATTGAAAATATATTAACAGCAAAAAATTCCATGTGATCTATCTGTGATGTTTGTGCAACAGGTCGGTGGCGAACCAGTTGAAGCGAGGCTACATGGTTGCCCCTGAACACTACGAATGCGCCTCCATTTACTTTAGTGACATAGTGGGTTTCACAGCTTTGTCAGCGGAGAGCACACCAATGCAGGTAAGAGATGATTCATTTCCCATAATGTCGAGAGGGACAACATTCTTATTCAAAACTACAACGTAGTTTTGTTTGATTTCGATCTTTGCTTAAGCACTTATTTGATAAAATATAATACCGAGAAGAAAGTGAATGGTAAAGACACATCTTCGCCTCGAATATTTTTCTTTGATTTGTAACGTTCCCCTAAAATCATTTATAAAGAAATAAAGCTACTTCAATAAAAAGTAAAGTGATGTTCTGCTAATGCGATCGATTAGGATACCATTTCCTACTAACATTTGTATATTGAACTGACTGCTATAGAACTATAATCACTTGGGTTTTTGAAACTTGCAAGGCCTTGAGTTGCAAGTTTGAAACATCAAAACTGCTTTTATAGAACTGGGCAATTTATGAAAGCCCTTTGAATTACTCTGGCACTTACCATATTTTATTATGAAGTAAATTGTGGGAAAAAGAATATACGCAGTCAGGTTCCTTGTATTGATAGTCAGTATTTTTTTATCAACAAATCAGCCAGACATGGGATCTTTAAAAAGGAAACAAAAATTGTTATCTTAACTACACTATGAGTACATAACAATTTAACCTTGTGTAATTTTCTTTTTGTTTATGTGTTCAAACTAAACATAAAAACGTGTTAACATTTCTCAAATTTGACGGAATAACGTGCGTACATTTCGTAAGCGTCACAAAAAAAAGGTTACATTTAACTGCTTTCGATGTTTACTTGACATATTGGGTACTGCATGTCTTGTTTAATGCATTACCGTCGTATATAAAATGTTATCTATACCAAGCCATTACGAGCATTACAAGACACTTAAGTTAACTGTTCAGGCAAAAGTATTTTAACAAAGTGGCATATACACGTATAAAGTATCAGGCAGACGTATTACAGACCGAAAATAAAACATTAGGTATATAATTAAAACGTCATATCTTTATTTATTGCGATACATTGTTATCAGCACTTGGTGTTCCTATCACTAAAACAGTTGTTGAATTGATATATACACCATCATCATTAACAAAAAACCATTTGTTATTTATATTAGTGGTGACAGTGCGCCTACAACAATTGATAGGTATATGTCTCATGTAATGCTGCGGCATAGCAACTTTTGACGCAATATTCTGTCAAAAAACACTTTCGGTAAAAAACACCATATGATTATGATTATATCTAATAACATGTAGGCTTTTTTGTAGACGCGTACTTTCATGTATAATACACATAGTGATGCATTTCCATAGACTTTTACAGTTTAGTTATTTGTAAAAAAACATATTTTTTTTTTAATAAAACACAGAGAAATTACTAATGACTACCAATCCTACGAGTTACGAATGTCGCTATCCAAGACGTTTACATGAACAGCGTCAAATTGAGAGATTGAATCAAAATGAATATCCCGACAAATACCAGAAACAGACTCATTTCAACTGCTTAAATTGCTTAATTGTCTATACATAACGGAGCATTTTCAATTTGAAAAGAGCTCCGTTACGGAACTCTTCTTTGCATTATAAATTAATGCAAATGTAGCCTTTAACTTTACTGTGGCTTTAGTAAAGTACATCTCGTGATTACGAGGTTACCAAAGTCGTAATTACGAAAGAGCTTACTCGTGCTTACTTGTAACATAATACTCTCTTAAGTAGCACTAACTTGCTACAGGTAGTTTACTCACCACTCGAAGGGATAGTTCGTCATTACCGCTAAGAGTTAAACAATGCATTATTTAATAGCTAAGTTGTTATTCAACTTTAAGACGATATTGTTACCAAAAAGAAACCACTTACAGAAACTGTCCATGTATTAAAACAAAGTTTTGAAATCATAAATGCTTGATTGACAAAAGTAAAAGTCTGTGGCTGATAATTTGCCTGTGATTTCAAACCTTATCTTGTTATTGTGTCAAAATGGTAATGTCATTACGATCACCGCGACGCATTTCACGCAGGGAAATATGCATGTTTTTAACGACGCCTCGTGAAGCATCTTTCAAAGAGAGGCGAGGCATTGTGAGTGTAACAGTAAAATAGCACCATTGATAAGGGACAGACGATCAGTATCAACCTAGGTGCATTCAAGTTAACAGCAAAAACACCATTTGCATGAAATTGCCAAACATCTTTATAGAAAAAAATAAGCCAATTTTCCGAAACAAAAACACTTAAAAAACATCTTAGAGAGAGAAAAAACCCAACACCAGAATGCATTAACATCAAAGAAACCAAATGCTAAAAGAGGACGAACTTTCCCAAACTACATGTATCACCTGTCAAGATGTAGCCGATGTGAATTTTACGTTGTTGTAACATAGCCAACACTAGTCCATCTACATGTAAACTGGTTACTCTTAAACGTTCTTTGTAGGTACAATGTTCTTGGTTTTTCACAAGAAAATCTATTAAGAATCCATGTCCCATTGCAGTCGTAATACTTGTTTTTGTAAAAACAAAGTGTAACTGTCCCTTTATCACTTGCTTTGGTAACTGTAGTAGGACTAACCAGATAACAATCGATGATCAGGTAGCTCTGTTAGCGAGAGCGAACGTATTGTCACCGGAGGTTCAGGGTTAAAATCTCGTTCTAAACCCTTTTAGAACTTTATTGTAGTTTTTTTTGCAATTTCATCATTATTATTTTTTTCAAAAACAATTCCACAACTTGAAGATTTCAATTCAGAAACGATTTGTTTAAGCTATTGTCATAACATTTGATTTTTAACAATTTATATTTTAAACAGCTATATGGTGCAGTGAAATTTATTGTTTGGCATACTGTTTTTATAACAAAAGTTTAAAGGTACGTTCATCTTCTAGAATCAAGGTTGTGCACTCTGTTGGTGGGTTGTTGCTAGACCGCTGGACCTTGATTTCCACAACGATCTCTATTGATTTGTGGCATGGTTAATAATATACACGCTTGACTCATTATTAATTTGAATTAAGCCTTTAGTTTGTGAAATTCATATAATTAAGAGGTTTTACGCACCTCTCCTTCTATTCCAACAACAGTTTAGACCAATTTGAATATTCACTTTTTTTGGCCCCTGGCATCATTAATGAGCCCCAGAAGGACGAAACAGATGTAAGAGAGCTCTGTGGTGCAGTTTGATTCCTTGGTTTGCATACTGTATCTACAAGTGTATTATAAAATTATAAAAGTATGTGTATGTTCATCCCTAAACAACAAACAAATAACATAAACAAATAATCATTATTTTATTAGAGTTCGTGTTGTGCTTTACACAAATATAATCTCCTTCTACGTTGAAATGATGTATTTTGTCTTATTGTGTGTTCGTACGACCCTGTCTTGTCAAACAAGATTTAAATCGTCGTATTGCCGAAAATAACACCCACACGTCAATGGCAAATCCTGGAGCAATATTGAGTTTCGATACCGACACGATATGACAGAAGTACGGACGTTAGCGTTACGTAAATGGTACTGACATTAGACACGCCGCAGAAATTTATAAAAGCCTAAGTAGCAGATGTCACAGTATTGCACGGTTCGTTTCTAAAAACATTCCAGACGTGATGAAGTCCTACAGATTTTGAATTCAGTTGATTAGAAATCTAATAGAACTGTTTGTCCCAGTTTGGCGAGGATTGTTTTTTTATGTGCCTATGATTGCTGTCATCTGGTTTCAAGAGTGGTTTCACACCCGTCATTAATTCCCAGGAGAAGTAGTTAAATTCTTCGATTAAGTAACAATGACAGAATGTATGTACAGTTTTGAACGCCAGATGAAGTAGTGATGTAATTTAGCGTTGAAGACACTTGTATTTTCCCCAACTACTTAAGCTAAGGAACTGAATCGTAATCCATTTCTGCATTTGGCTACTTGACTTGAGATATGGTTTTTGTCATATAAGGCAAACCTTCAGTGAAACTGAATGGCAGTCAATTATCCTCTCCTTTATATAGACATTCACGTTTTCTTCTAGCGTTTGAACATATTTGCATTTCAATGTAGCATGCCAGACAAATCATTGTGTTGGGTGTAATTGAGTCAGCATAAAGGAAATGCTAAAACATCGCCAAGGCAATCACATGTAGTATAGTTTAAGAGAACTTCACATGTAAAAGATAGTGTCTTGGCTGCAAGATAAGTGATGTCAAGTCAACACACGCATTTGACCAACACACAGCTGAAAGCTTTTGTAGATTTGTATGACGTCTTGGACGTTCAGAACCAGCTGAGTAAATAGTCGCGTTCCTACATTAGTATGATCAATACGCACTATTCCATTACGTCTAAGTGATACGTCATCAGTTTATGTGTATTACGGCGTGTAAACCACACGGTCTAAATAAACAATTGGACAAGGTACAAGTGCCAGATGGTACGATAATGGTATAAAGGTGTACTTAAGAACGATTGGATTGCCAAGGTCATTTTACAACCTTGACTTTTCAGACAATCAGTCAACAATCAGCTGTTCAATTTTACAACCTTGACTTTTCAGACAATCAGTCAACAATCAGCTGTTCAAAGTGCAATTTCCTTACTCCTACTTAAAAGGCTCTGGTTAAATATTGATTCAATCTTAATCCATCAATTACAAGACCAGTTGATGTAATATTGAGCAACAGTATCCGGCTGTTAATCTTTTAAGAAATAATTTGAGTAAGAAGATTTTAACGAAATATAATAAAAAGAAATTAATTTTGATTAAAAATGGAAATCCTCGAACCAAAGATGTCACATGACAGGAAACCATACATATGTTCTATCGATTCGATGCTTAAAATATATGTATTCTTAAGTCTGAGAAATCCCCCTGAAAAGATGAGAAAGCGCTTAAGAGCTGTTGTTATTTTTTTTATATAATTTCTTCGTCCGTAAGGATCAATTTACTGCTATTATAGTATAAACATATATATATATGGGGCAAATAAGTAATTCCAACAGTGTGGACAAGTTTAGGTTGTCAAATTTTCGGAGCGATCCGCTCCTTTATCAAGACACAGTGAAACAGAACAGGTACATGTACATATACATCATATTACAAGAAGATATATAAATAAAGCAAAACACGGAGACTAGTATAATTAGCTAGCGCTTTCGCCCATCTTAGGGCTCTTCAGGCGATTTAAATTTATTATTGACGTCATAAATGGAGTAGACGAACTTCAGACGTCAAAAATAATGACGTCATAAACAAAGTCTTTTTAAGACGTCGCAATTTCTAGACGTCTGCATTATGTGTACTTTGTTTATGACGTCATTGTTTTTGACGTCTTAAATATGTGTACACCATTTATGACGTCACAAATAAATTTAAATCGCCTGAAGAGCCCGAAGACGGGCAAAAGCGCTAGCCGATTATGCTAGTCTTCGTGTTTTGTTCAATTTATATATATATGTTCAAATCGCACAGCTTCCCAAATTTTGTTTCAGTGATATATATTTGATGATATTTATGCATAGAAGCATTAATGCTTGGTCGATTGTCTTGTTTAAATCTGATATTCTCCAGGTTGTAATTTGGGATTTCTCTTCAGAAGGTTTTGTCAATATCCGAAGAATAACTTAAAGATTATCGTAAATGCAATACCAATTGTATTGAACAAACAGACAGACAGTCAGACAGATTAATCCTTCGAGCATACAACTGTTAAACTGGTGCGAAAAAATGGTTATGTTTTCCCTATAGCTACAGTGCACTCAAAACGTTATTGCATAAACAAAAACACTGTTACCTTGCATCCAATCATAATGATAATTTTGGAAAATATTGACAAATACTTTCCGTCATATGAGTATCTTGATATTTGAGTATTTCCTACTTTTACATGAATGAAAAACCCATGAAAATCATTATCCGGATAGTCGAAGGGAGATAACTCCGTAACGACTATGTACCTAACGCCTGAGCTCCGAAGGAATACTTCCGAAGACGTTTTTTTTGGCTCTCAGCAAAAGTGATATTTTTCATCTGTGGAAAACGGTATCAGATGAGCATTAGGGATTAACAGTGTATTTAAATGATGTTGACATATTGACATGTATATAATAAGGCTTAATAATAAGGAGTTATATGTTGATATGTACATAATAAGTGATATTGTGTTGACATGCTTATATGAGGCAAAATATTTGTTGACATGCATATAACAACAAATTTTATGTAGACATGTATATAATCAACTGATACGTTGACATGTATATAAAACTGATACGTTGACATGTTTATAACAATAATTATATGTTGCCTTTGATGTAATTAGAGCTTCTTTGTTGACAGGTGATAGACATGCTGAATGAACTTTACACGTGCTTTGACTCGATCATTGAACACTATGACGTGTACAAGGTGGAAACGATAGGAGACGCCTACATGGTCGTGAGTGGTCTCCCCCTTAGAAACGGAAATCACCACGCGGGAGAAATAGCGTCAATGTCTCTACATTTACTGAAGGAAATAAAGGCTTTCCGAATACGACATCGACCAGACGATACACTTAAGCTACGCATAGGAATACACTCTGGTAGGTTTAATTCAAAAAATGTATTTTAAAAACTCAATTGTTTTCGTGGTCATCTTAACATTGTGATTCCCTGTACATAACTTATGTTTTGTTTTGATTTTCAATCTTCTTACTATAGATTACAAAATTGCATAATTACCAAATACATACAGTTGAATCTCGATGTAATGCCCTTCATTTCCTTTGCCATCTCGCATAGCGCCAACGCTTAAACATTGTTCTCTTTTCTTCTATATTCCTTAAAAAACACGAATCCCTTCTAATGTTTCCTTCAGTTTATAGCCAAACCCCTTTAAAACGTGTTTTGTCTGTCAAATATTGGCAATATAACGAGGTTACATTGCATATTCTTTAGGCCAGTTAGGCTTGCATAACTAGATCAAAGTCATGTTGATGTTCATGGAATTGATTCATCGCAGACTGAAACATTTTATAGACAACAATATGACATCAGCAATTGATTAATCAATAGGACGTTTTTTGTTTTGCCAAATAGTCATAATAATAGTCGAGGGAGCTCAAATAGAAAATAAAATGTGATAAATCTAACCCATAATCAGGAAAACGGGGCCGTGGTGGCTGAATGGTTAAGGCGTCTAACCGTCTATAATCACTAACTCTCCTTCACTGGGTCGCGGGTTCGAGACCTACGTGGGGCCGTCGTAAGGTAATGGTCGCAGGTCGGCGGTTTTTCCCATGGGAACTCCGGCTTTTCCTCCAATACATAAACCGGGCCTGTCCTTAAATGACCATAGCTGTAAATGGGACGTAAAACAGAAACAAACTTAATAATCAGGGAAGGATGGTATGCTTCTACTAAAGTTAGGTTGTTTGGGTATTGCCTAGAGAAAACTTAATAATTGTTGTGAATAACGATCTAGTACTTTTAGTTGCTTTATAACTAAAGACAACGAACTTGGTTACTTGGTAGATTATCTTAAGAATCCCTATTTCACTGCACTGTGGTTCTTCGTATACACAGTAATCTCCCCTTAATTTCTGTTTGGATATAACTGTATCACATTTAGGCCAGGAGACTTGCATTGACCAGTCGGTAGGGTCTAGCCTCTTGATTTGTTTTACACTCAGAACACTTCTGGTGATTATATTTTGTTTATTTCGTTTTTTATTTTATTTTTAAAGTCAAGCAACAGTGGTTTTCTTGTTAAAATGATTTCTCAAAATTATAGTCATGTCGGAAAAACCGGTTTCCGATGCGCAGTAGCAGTTTTAAGCAGTTGCATCCTTAATTAATAGCCTGTTCGATATTTTAACGCATCCTAGGAAGGTGTCTTTTGCATATGTTGTCAAAATGCTTATAACTATGATATACAAATTGTCCTGATGGAAGTTTTACTCAAACATTTGATCAGCAAACCTTTCTCTAAAAGGCAATAATTTAATCTTGCTTGTAACAAGCATTTTGATTGGCTTAAAAAATTATGTTATCAGCCCATAACGTAAAAAAATGACGTCGCCGTTTGTAACGTCGCTTTTGATTGGCTGATACAGCAGCGCAATAAATTCTAAGAGAAAAGAGTCCATCAATAAAAGTGTATTTCCACAGGGATTGTGTATAGTAGATTAAATTATAAGGATTAACCTGAATATATTTTTCATGTTATGGAACCATAACACAAAAAAACGGATCCGGAGTGTACCCTCATCATAAACCGCTTCGCGGTTTATTTAGAGTACACTCCGTTTTTTGTGTTATATCTCCATAACATGAAAAATATATTCAAGTTAATCCTTAAATAACATAGCTATGCATAATCAAATGTCATATCCATTAACTTTTCATGTTTCGCATTTTATGATTAATGTATACTGACAATCACTAAAGACGGTTTGTGTGCATATTAAGATCGACATATATTGAAATAATATTGGGTTGAATCTAACGGGGAATATTTACAAGTGCTGAGAAGTATAATTGAGAAAGTTTCAGAGTACATAATGGCATAATGGCATCAATACATGAGCTAAAAATCTTTCGCCAACAATAATTGACATCATAATGTATCCGGAAAGATGATTAAGTTGACTAATTAGGCTATACACGTGCGAAACGAAAGAATTATCAACATCTTTACTGGCAAACTAACACTTACAGTTTTCCTGATTTTTAATTATCGATTGTTGAGATTGGGAACGGAACGAAATATCAAATGATTCTTTAGCAACTCTTACATAATTTTTACATCTTTTAAAGCGCTTGCCGAGATGTCATATCTGATAAAATGTATTTGTTGGCAAGAAACAGTGCGGAAAGGGGAAAAATAGAAATATTTTCACATTCACTTTAAATCAAACTATCTTAAAGTGAAGAAACATTAGACTATACCAAGGAAACATCTTTTTAAAAATCCGGATCGGATGGCGCGGTGGATATCACAATCGCCTTTCATCAAGGCGGCTGGGGTTCGATTCCCTGTTCGAACGTGAAAAGGTTTAGGGTCACTTGCCCAACCAGATGGGTTTTCTCCAGGCACTCCGGTTTCCACCCACATTAAGACCCCCTTGTGGCCAGCAAGAATGATTCATACAATTGTTGTAACATAAATAAAGTTTATAAATATTATAAATTTAGTTATGATTCATTTTTCTATGAATAAATTCATCGTTATTTAATGTGTGCCTAATTAATAAACATTGTTGTTGATTTAGGGCAGGTTGTTTATATGCAGTTTAGTTTTCGTTAATTGTGTAAAACTTATTTCACAATAATGGATGTAGGTCCGTGTGTTGCCGGAGTAGTGGGATTACGAATGCCAAGGTATACCCTGTTCGGAGACACCGTTAACACCGCATCCCGGATGGAAACCACGGGAGTTCGTAAGTATCTAATTTTCTGTACTATTCCGTCTTTTTGTATTGCAGAGTGATCTGCTCTTGTGAGCAGGTATTGATTGTTACGTCATTAGTTTGTGTAAGAAAATAACGCCGTTTTCTCAAAAACTGATGACGTTACTCTCACAAACAAATGACGTAACAAGCAATACCTGCTATCAAGAGCAGATAACTCTGCAATACGAAAAGACGGAATTGACAAGCTTTCATCTGATTGGTCGATGGTGCAGATGCTCAGACAACTAACCTTTAGTTAAAGTCATCCCTTATTTTGCCAAGACGGACGAAGCAACCCTATGATGCAGAACAATTCAGGTTTGGCATACTGTACCTATTTGCATATTTAAAGGTGTAATTGGTTTGGTTTGGTTTAATATTGTTTAACGTCCTATATCAACAGCTTTAGCTACGGTAAGTTAAGGACGGCCTCCCCTGTGTGCAAGATGCATGCGTGTAGCGTATGCGTGTGTGTTTTGGGAGGCTGCGATATGTTCGTGTTTATCTCCTTGTGATAGCGCGGAACTGAATAAACAGTGTGTGTCCTACCTTCATATTTCTTTCATTTTTAAGCTTCTGTCTACTAGACAGAGTATAGTTTAACATGTTGTTTATATCTTAAACCTTCGGATCAACATACATAAATGCATATAATGCGTATATTATTGGGTATGAAAGTTGGAAACAAACAGATAAAATGAGACAGCTTGTTGTTCCCCATTTGGGCATTAAACTCACAATCGGTATATCTGGCCAAGAAACATCCACAACTCTGACCGTTCTACCACAATCGCGGCTACCTCAAACATGGGGTTTTAATGTGGCGATGACAAAAAAAAAAAGCGATATAATTTGTACATGGTGACATTTAAAAAAAAATTGGTTATGAATGATTTGAGTACCTCGATTGCAATGTATAATTATATACATTGACACGAATTGCACACATCTCATTTTATATTAGACACAGTACATTCACACCAAGTAGTTAATATCTCAATATACACTAGTGAATATGGCATCTTCAAAATCTTTATGTAAGAGGCCGTTGTGGTGTAATAGTAGGAAAATGCGGAGTCTCAGTTTGATAATTTGACGCCGAAAATCGTGAATTTGAGGCACACGGCACGAGTTAAATTTATGTCTTCCTGCATAAGTTTTGTTTCATGTCAAACTACAAACACATTGAACTATATGCAGTATCGTACTAAAAGCATTTTGCGATTTGCCTCGATTGGCACTATATTTCAATCATTCTTTAACTTTCTTCATAGGATTTCCCTGGAGGCGATTATTGCGACAATGAAATGAAATTAGACACCCTCAATTAGAATGAACTGATATTTTATCGGACAATATTTTCCTATTTTTGTTCATGGAATGAATTGCAAACTATTGTGAGTTATTTTTGGAAGAAAAAAATCACTGCCATTATTGTGTTAGACAAAGATCGAAATGGGGTATCGAAATCGATTTCATTTCAATAAATTTTCATACCTCGAAATTAAGTTAACACAAATTATCAATCTGTTTTTCAATATGATTAAGAAACTAATCTTACAGTAGATATAGAGTTTTGTTTCAAAAGCGCTCAAATTAGTCTCAGAAAGTTCCAATGTATAAAGGAAAAAACGCAGAATACATTTTGGTGAATCACGAATACTTCTGGCACGATGCTTTGATTTAATGTATGTTGATTCGAAAGTTAAAGATAGGATACAGCAATGAGCCAATTTGTAGGAATATGAAAATCAAAATCATACATACAAAACAATGGCATCGTCATTAGGTCTTTGACCTCTTCGTGAGACTCGGAGACTGTGTGAAGAGATGGCATGGCTATATTACACAGGATTAAATGACGTCATCTAATAAAGGAAGGGAAAGATATTTTGCACAGACCATGGAATGGTATTCGAATAAGATTTTAAATCAAATTTTAGCACTTCTACGTGATTGAAGCTTAACAAATGATGAACATACATTCATGTGTAAAAGCGTTTTATATGTTTTTTCCAGCATTGCGGATTCACTGCAGTCTTGAATGCAAGTTGTTACTAGACAGATTGGGTGGATACAAGTTATTAGAGCGAGGATTTGTGTCGATGAAGGTGAGAATAAAATCAACATCGCGATTTAAAAACACCAACTATAGTAATTCTCCAAAACACATTTTATTGATGAGTTCATTAATTTTGTTAAAACGGCAGTAGTTCAATAGAGATGCAAGGAGTTATAGAAAATTATTGTATTTCATTGTGAGCGGTGAAATAATAATGTGATAATTTTTTCCTGTGTCCGGTTTTTGTGTACGGTGTTCTGTGTTTGTGAATGCGTATGAGCCGTTTTAATGATAATTCAATAAACATTCTTGTTAATCTTCTACATTTAAATTAAAAAAGTTTGTGTTTGCGTAAGCCGTTTTCTGATAATTCGATAAATGTTCCTATTAACCTTCTAAATAAGAGTGTTTGTGATTGCGCAAGAGCTTTTTTATGATACATGTAGTTCAAAAACAAGTTGCTGCAACTTTTGTTTCCTGCAGGGTAAAGGAGAACAGTTTACATATTTTCTGGAAGACCAAGAGACCTCCGTCAGAATACGACGTATATCAAAATCAGACAGGATGTCCCGAACAGAGTCGCATGACAGCCAAGCAACGGACACAGACCATTCCGTTGTGGACTCAAAATGTAGGGTTAGGACCCGAAACGGCCACATTCCAAAGGAGAATTGTATGCTTAAACTACGCGAAATGTCGATGAAGTATTTGACAAGTAGTGATTACTGTGTACATGACGAGAAGAAAGCAGAGTGTGAAACAACTCAACCGTCAAACGCACCCGACGCACATCAAAACAATAACACGCAGTCGCATGATTACTCATGCGCTTACTTCCGGGAACAGGAAACAATGCCCCTAATGCTGGTCAAGGACGGTAATAACGGATATGTAGGACCGGAGAAGGCCGATTTCGCAGAAGACGTCGTGTGATTGTCAGCCGTTTTGTTTTCATTTATTGTGACGTCATGTGTTTAACACTCTGTTGGTCCGTCCGTCCGAACATCCGTGAATATCGATGGTTTCATCTTCTCTGTCGACGGAAATATCTTACGTTTAAGTTGGAGCACTGCGATAAAACGTACAATATGCTAATAATGTGTGTAAGAGAGAGAGAGAGAGAGAGAGAGAGAGAGAGAGAGAGTAATTGAAATATTACCTGTTTAAGGCTTGCAATACTCAGTCTATTTATATTTGAAGAAACGAATGATACTGTTACTGTCATAGAAGGGCTCGTCTCAGGAAAGACAACTCGTGAACGTGTATGAATAATACGAAAATAAGCATTCGGCTATAATTTATTTGTACAGTTAAAAACCTTGTCTTGTGTTATGTATGTCAATATTAATGTTGTAAAAATGCGTTACAATCAAAGCAGGTTTATTGAGTGTGCAATGAACTTCAAAAGAAAGTTGGTACAGGCATGCGCTGATGCTTTTACCTGACCGTGACGTCATATTTGCTTGTCGGACACGATGCCTTATACATTATCCGACAAATCATGAATTAGTTAAGGTGGACATATCCAGCATTCCGTCTGGTACATGTATGTTCGTCTTTTTTCTACTTGTAGTTGATATTCGACGGAGTTATTCATATTTCTTTTTTTTATGTGACAAAAGTATCTCCGCTGCAGAATTTTGATTCTTGGATCTATGCTAAAATATTTTTTCCTGCAACCTTAGTCGGAATAATTTCACCACAGCCTTCCTTAAAAACGCCCGCAATCTATCATTTTCTGTTAAAAAATATTGACGAAATAACATAAATATAACAGGAAAATAATTGCCTGTAAACTGTGAAAAAAGTGATGGAACTCTCTACCTTTAGATTAAATGCACAGGTGAGGTACAATGTATATATTATATTCTTTCCTTTGTAGATATATTTATCAAGTGTATGTCCGTATTATGTGTGTATGCTCTATTGTCATTCCATTATAATAGCTACAGTCTACCAGCGGTTTTACGTTATCCTAGATAACTTTAATGTTAATATTGCCTTTTTTGTCCCCTTTATTTATTTATATTTCCTTTATGTTACAATGTATATATATTCATATTATATATGAATTTTCCGTTTGTCTCAAAGTTTAAATGGCGATCTAAAGAACTTCGACATATCGAAGTTTTAATGTAGATATTTTTGTTGTGCCCAATTTAGTACGGTTGTACCGACTATCTGTTTAGATATTTATTTGTTAATATGCTGAAATAACTGTGATAATATGCATAAGTGAACAATTAAATAATATGCATTATACTATATGTGCACTTGTCAAGCAGCTTAACCTATGAATTTCGTTAAATAAAAGAATCCACTGAGTCCACAATGACTTGTTACTGTATACTTAAATGTACCAAACCGTAATTCATTATCGTATGTATTGGAAAACACGAATGTATATAATGTTTATAATAAACTCGTATATAAAACCATTGTATACATATAAATATGAAATTATTATACAAGATATAATACAAACACAATACATATATGTTACACATAAATTACACGTACTTTACACGTTACATTATGCTAAATTTTCACTAATATAACACGTACACTACACATACATTACACATACTTTAGACGTAAAGTGAACATATATTACACGTATAATAATCGTACATTACATTTGTGTACATGACGCAGACATTACCCTAAATAAAACGTACATTACACATACAAAACGCGTACTGTGAACGCACATGTGTAAGTTACACACTCATTACACACACTTATTACATACACCTAATATGTATTTGACTTACACATACATAACACTTACCTACTTAACATATATTAACGTTACACGACACGAACATATCACGAGCATAAAACTTACATTTGCAATGTCAATGTTGAAATACTACTAGTGTACAAACATGTATGTTACTGACGGGTATTTTTTCTATGAATTAAGTTGTATCAAGATACATTATCTTCAATGACACATTTAGTAAATTTTCAAATTCAGTGAATATTGTTATTTTGTAAAAATATTTGACCATAATTACTTTGAATCCAAATATATTCATATTCATTTCTCAGGTTTAACAATTAAAACAATGAAATAAATCTAAAAAGGCGTAAAATTAAAGTTATAACAAAAATAATTCGATAATTATCAATTTTAAATATTGTATTTGATTGTAAATTGCCAGCTTATATCACGAACATCAATATATATATCAATATGAGTAAGTTTGTTTTACTCGTGTGGCCGTTTTTTTTTCTTATCTTACATTTTATTTTCAAAGGAAATGGAAAGATGGGCATTTTACTTTAATATAATGGTTGTCAACCACGCCACATTGGCATTATGACGTCATCAATATGGCCTTCGTGATGTCTTGCTAATGACGATGTCTTTATGAAAATATCGACATTATGAAAATACCAATGTTTAAGGTGCTAAAAAAACGTGAACACTGAAAGAACTGACCTAAGTCTTGTAAGATATTTCCATTTCAGTAAAACAAAATTGTATTTGAAGATTTGATTGAATCTGTTAATGAAGCGAATGGATCTTGTTACAACCTTTTCCTGTAAATAACTTTGCTTATTAACTTATTTTTTCTCCTATGTTATTCATGTTCACTAGTTCGGATAATACCATGATCATGTCTTTCGTATTCTGTCATTCATACAGCTGGCTATATCTGCTCAGGCGGGTAGCTGCCATGTTACAAAAAAAAACCAACAGTTACATGCACATCACAAAACCTCAAATGCACTTATTTGAATTTAATGGCTTTACATCATCTCCTCGTAACAGACATGTTAGATGATAATGTAATTCTGAGTCATGCATGTACTGTTCAACAATTAAAAGTGTTCATTAATCAAAGGTGTTTTTAATACTGCATTTTTAATGCCTGTCTTATCAATCAGAATTCAGCTTCAGGAGGAAATACGTAAATATTGAATAGATTAAACATTTGAGTATTGNCAAGCGTTAAGCGGTTATTACTTGGTACAATATAATGTGTTGTAGTTTTACACCTGAAAACTGTTTGAGTCTGTATAAATAGTGGCACGCACATGCAATACGTGTAGCCCAGTAGCCAAATCAAATATAACGGTATAAAACTGATATTTGCTGGGGTTCAGCTTTTTAAAATTAAATATATTTACTGCATAAATCTTAAATTTCGCTAAAATTCAATTTTCACTTTAAATAGTGGCTAAAATAAACATACAGACAATATAAAACTTTTAAATTCGTAGGGTTTAATTTTCATTATTTCGAGTAGCCCTGTGGTTAAATAAAATGCCCTGAATGTAGTAAACTCAAATTTCGTGTCGCTTTATATTCACCCCTCGGGTCTGTTGCCTTTTTGATAGAAATCTATAAGGACTTATGTCTAATGACGATGTTTCGGGAAAGTTGGGCATTGTAAATCATTTCAAAGAACAACAAGATCGCAATGATTAGACCCTGCCAATTCAAATAGCTTTACAGTAATTTCTGCAATTTACAATTTTGAACCGTGATATGTTTTATCAGCAATTCACCTTTTTTTTTTTTATCTCTAATGTTGTATTTCTTAAGTGCCAACTGTGCTGAAATAAACATCGTATCTCTAGGATATTAAACCGTACATATTCATATGTCGCCAGGATTAATTTTTGAAGAGACTCCATATAAAACCAGTTAATAAACACTTATGTTGATTGGGCACAGCTAGTGCAAGTGTGAATTGCAGTATACGCTGTCTGGACTTTATGTTCATTATGCTTTTGCAGGTGGAAGTATCACATGCTGATATACTTGAAGAACTCAATGAAACAAAATGGTGTAAAATAGTAGAAACCTATTGTCGATTGTAGATTTGTGAGGAAATGTACAAAACTTGACAAAAAAACATATCATGTTTACACGTTTATTAAACTTGCAATACTTCATATGTCTGTTGAAATAATGAAACAATTATTTGCTGGTTTTGTGTAAAGGACATTATCATTTACTAGACAATCAGTATTTATTCATGTGTTTTAAAAGCTCTTGTAAACTTTTCATCTGTTTAAAAATAAACATGAATAAATGCAATTTTCTGTTTACCAGGTTGTTTCTTTTATTTTTATATTGTTAACTATTTTCCTAATTATACTTTTAAACCCAACTATATATAGAGAATTAGATCTCTAAGACTACTTTCATAATTTTTTTTTTATTGAAATGAAAATGAATGTAAAAGCCCGTTTATATCACATAACAAAGATTTGTTGCAAATATTTCCGAAAGCAACATTTTCTCATACTGAACTTTTAACACCAAAAAATTCGACTTCAAACCTTTCTTCTTTAAGACATGATAATGCAGTTGGTAGACTGTGACGTCATGATGTTATGATGTTACAATTGAAACTAGTGCTTTGTATAAAATAGGAGATTCCTTACTCCGTATTTGTATTGAATTTGTTTCGTTACGTAGCAAATATTACAATCTAAACTGAAAACATTAATTAAAAAGAAAATGGAAAAGTAAGTGCGAGTCTCAATAAAATAATTTAACCTTTTCCACAAAGAATACAGACAAGTAATGTATACAATTATAGTGCCTAGTGGACTTGCAGATTTAATACAGTGAAAAACGTTTGTGCAAAATATAACGTCTTCTTTAGACAATAACGTGTATACATAATACATGATACAAGATAACACGTAACAAAATGCATGGAATATGACAAAAAAAACAACACTGTTTTGCAATGCTCCGTTTCTATTGGACCATTCCCAACCTACCACGTGGTTTCATCAACACTTTGACCATTTCGTCCTCCAACCGATACTTCCTCAATTAGGACGTTTTAATTTAAATCGGGCGTGATACGAAACGACGGATTTGTTCCGTAAGCTAACATTAATCTTCGTCATTCTTACACGATATTAAAAAAATCTTAACATAAACCTTTTCTTATTTGGCGACGTTATGGTGTAGGCATTTTGTGATATGAACGAAATTTAATGAAAGAAGTATTGTATTCCCTCCTTATTATTATTTATTTTAAGATAAATTAAACATGCCTTTTTTTGACAACAATGCACTTCACATACAAATGAAAGTATATTTATCGCTCAAGAACATACACAGCTCAATGTAGGTTTCTTAAAGAAGACACTCCACTTCATAACTAATTAATATATTTTACATACAATTGAAATATACACAACAGACCATAAAACAATCTTAGATATAGCGTTAATTGTCCTTCCAGGAAATTAATTAAGATTCTAAATAAGACTAAATATACCAGCATCCGATAAAAAAACCTTTGTAGTAGAAAATTTGAATATTGAACAAAACATGTTTTTAAAGCCGTAAAGTATATATTCTGTCAAACACGGCTGTCGAATTGTGTGATATATGACCCGATAACATAATTGACATTGAGGAAGTAGATATATTAGCGTATGTAAACACCTGTAGAAAAAAAGTAGCTTACTTAGAGGTCACAACCGCGACACTATTCACCTTTGACCCTGACATAGCTGCTAACATTTGCTTGAGACTGTCAATCTCCCGCTCGAAACGTACACGTCACTGCTTTTTAAATGATGTTTACTGAATCAAGCAATTAATTAAGGGGAAGAGGCTAAAAAGGACCTGTATATATTTCCATATATGTAATATAAAATTATATCATACTTTTAAAAGCAGACGTGGGCGGACGTTAAATGTGAAATGTAAAATTCTTACGATGGACACTATTTAAATTCGTTGCCAGAGGATAATGAAATTTATTACGGAAACAACGGCAAAAAGGTCAGTAACGCTGTCTGGATAGCATATGCAGACTAAGTTTAATTAACGTAAGATGCTAGCCCCGACGAGGATCGTCAGACTTCTATCCACTTTACCTTTGAACAGGGGGAGTAGGTGCGGAAAATTTGCTGTCGAGAAATGTGCACCAAACTCAAGGGTATGCTGTACTTGAACAAATTGACATTGTGTGTCTTCGTACACAGCTAAATGTGAGCCGCAAGTTCAAAACAGGATCAGTTTTCTTTATCTTCAAGATGGCATCAACACAAATAGCTGTTTTATTTATGATGACTGTCTGCTTAATTGGTGGAACCCTAAGCCATCCAATGTCTCTGAAATTGCCGGGTAAGTTGGTGTAATACTAAGATAAGAATGAAACTTTTATCGCGACCTTTTTTTTAATGACCTATGGCTATTCAAATATGCATACACAACTCTTTTATATTTTTTTGTGTGTAAAATACTGTTGAACCTTTCCGTGCTGAACCCCTTCTTTCCACTTATAAACCTCAAAAAGTGATATTTCCATTTGCTCTGCATCCTTCCATTGCAATGCCTTGAGAAGACCAATATTGTTGTGAGACTGCCGGGGTCTATTAAGTTTGTCATCAATAGCAATGTGGGTTATAGGACTACGACAATATTTGCTAAAACATCCATTGCTTAAAACAATCTTTGGTAAATCCGTCCTTGCAAATATCATGTTAGCTTCATTAAGCAGTCTTTGAATAACAAAACTATTTTACCCAATGGAAACCTTTTATATGTTGTTGTTTTTAAACACAGACGACATGTTATATTGATTACTTATTATTAATTTATCATTTGAAATTAATTTTCTTTTAGACATGAGATAATGTTGACCAGCTAAGTACGAGAATTGCTAATTAGGATAATATTCTGAAATTGTAATACATTTCTACAGCTTGTTACAAAGTTACATTTTTATTGTGTACTACTGTTCTCTGTCATGATAAATTCGCCCTCATTGCGGAGGGTAAATACAGCAAAAAATAAATTCAAATGCAGCGAGAATGTCCCGGTATACAGTATGTTAATTTGTTATTTGATGCGAATTAGTTCTTACTCACGTTTTTCCAATGGTCAATAACATGAAACATTGCCGTATTATTACAGACGGGCAGGCCTGCAGCGAATTCTGTCTGACGGGATGCAACCCCAAATCTGGTGTTTGTGACGACTGTGTTGGCGGGTGGTTCGGCGATCTCTGCGAATTCAGTTGTGATGAAAACTGTGCCCTATGTAATCGAACTAATGGCGAATGCATAGAGTGCTCTCGTGGATGGTATGGAGAGTTTTGCGACATTGCGTGTGAGGGAAAATGTCTGTCTTGCGATTATGTCAATGGAAATTGTCAAAAGTGCAAAGATGCCCGATGGGGGCCGGATTGTTCACAAAGCTGTCCTGACAATTGTGTATCATGCGATATAGAAACTGGAGAATGTCGCTCCTGTAATAAAGGTCATTACGGTCTCAACTGTACGGAGACGTGTGGACATTGTTGGAAACAAGTTTGTGGCCGGATATCCGGTGAATGCGTGTACGAGTGTGAAGAAGGATGGTTTGGAGCAAGATGCAAGGATAGATGCCTTGCAAATTGTTCTGTTTGCAACGACCAAGACAAATGTTCGATATGCCATCCTGGTCTAGTTGGAAGTAAGTGTGATACCAAATGTCCAGGCGTCTGCAGTGAATGCATGTACGATCCTACATCTGAACTAGTTTCATGCACGGCGTGTACTTCCGGTTTGAAACTTCCGGCAAGAGATTGCACATGCCGTGATGATATGTGCTTGACGTTTAGCTCGGAAGGAGGTAAAAATATATGCACTCAATGTAAAAATGGGACAGTGGAGTATTTGGGTACATGTTGTCCTTGCGCTCACTGCCAAGGAGGAAATGACAATTGTCACAGTGCGCATGGCTGCACTAAAGGATGTGAGCCAGGATTCTACTCAACGGCGTCAGGATGTGATAAGCCATGTGGAGCCGATCATTGCACTTTGTGTCAATTGACAAGAGGTAGTGCAAAAATATGTACGCTATGTGAAGACGGCTGGTACCCTCAAGAAGAAGGATGCCACGCGTGTAGTGAGAACTGTGCTGGGGAAGGTCACCATTGCAACAACGAAACGGGTGTGTGTTTATATGGCTGTGTTGAAGGGTGGAATAACCTTCACTGTGACTCTAAGTGCAACGAGACATGTGTCATCTGTGACAATGATCAAGGCATTTGCAAATCGTGCGATTTGGGCTTTTGGGGAATTCAATGTGAGAACCTTTGTCCTGATAATTGCAAGTTGTGCAATATAACTGGTGGAGCTTGTTTTATCTGCGAAAAAGGTTACGTCGGAGTTAATTGCACACCCGCATGTAGAAATTGCGAAGAAGAAAGATGTCAGCTAGACACTGGTATTTGTGACATCGGATGTAAGCAGGGTTGGTTTGGCGATGTTTGTAGTCAGCGATGTCCACAGGGTTGTCTTTCTTGCGATTCAGCAGAATCATGCCAGGAATGTTTGCCAGGATTGGCCGGGGAATTTTGTCAACACAAATGCCCTGAAAAATGCAAAGAATGCTTTTATGATGATTTTACTGAAGAAGTCCATTGTGAAAGTTGTGTAGGCGACTACCAAATAGAACAAAAATCATGTGAATGTACAATTTCAAAATGCATTGAGCATGAAACACGTGTCAATATTCAACGTTGTAAATCTTGTGAACAAGGTTGGTTTCCGTACATGCAGTCTTGCTGTCCTTGTTCAAACTGTAATCAGGGGCAGAACATTTGCGAGCGGTTAGGCAAGTGTTACGATGGATGCGGTTTCACCCCTAGTATTGAGGTAACAGGGTGCAGTACAAAATGCAACACATCACACTGTACATGGTGTGAGGTTAGCGCTTCCAGGTCGGAGTCCTGTCTTATGTGTTCTGAGGGTCGGTACCCTACCCAAAATGGATGTCAGGGTTGTAGTAGTCACTGTGCTGGTGCAGGTAAAAAGTGTGATAACATTACCGGAAACTGTCTCCATGGGTGCCGGCAAGGATGGCACGGCGGACGTTGCTTGACAAGATGTAATGACAACTGTGCACAGTGCAACGAGACATTGGGCGTATGTCATGCATGCGACCCCGGATTTTGGGGAGACGAATGTGAAAACACATGCGAAAGTGGTTGTAAACAATGCACGTCAGATATTGACCAATGTGAGTCGGACAAGACCTATTGCAACCTAACATCCGGGCATTGTTTACACGGGTGTAATCCGGGTCTTTTTGGCATGTCATGTGATACTCACTGCAAGAGATGCAAACTCGATAAGTGTGACCAAGACAACGGTCAATGCCTGGCTGGCTGTATAAAAGGTTGGAAGGGACTTCATTGTGATGGTAAGGATATTTTGTTATATAAGATCTACATTTTCTAACTTCTATAATTCGCCTGTTATGTGGTGATGTATGATTTACTGACTCGATGTTACTTTTCTAAGAAACAGCTAGTCAATATTCTCTTTATTACGTCATTTTAGTCGTAATGTCACATTACTTTCTTCCGAAGACAGCACTTTTCTCAAAAGGAGCTTTGTTGTTCAACCTAAAGATAAAGCAGTATAATTTCACAATGTGACAAATTGACATTAAAAACGATACTAGCCTTCTTTTCGTTGCGGTTAATATATCTTACTCGTGTTCCCTGTGTGTAAGATAGAAATACCCAGGGTAAGAAAAGGGTATAGGAAATGTATATCTTACACCCCATTTCACGTGACGTGACGTCACAATGCTCAACAATGACGTGACGTCACGAATTTGGAACTCTCCGATGCCGCAATGCGGAAAAGGCGGCGTGATGAAAGTGAAACCTTTAATGATATGTTAAACGTACACGTTAGAAAGATGTGATTATTGTTTTTGCGCAAACATACATGTAGTTTTGCTTATATGGGATATTGTGGCCAGTCCAAACGCATTTTCATGATTTCTGAGCTTAATCTGGTGGTTGGAGTGAGATAAAATTCCCTTTCATGCTCAAGGGTGTAGGATAGGGAAATTCCACCCTCGGGATTTTCAAATTTGGCAAAAACTCTCGGCAGAGCCTCGGGTTTAAGCAAATTTGAAAACCCCTCGGTTGGAAACTCCCTATCCTACACCCCGGTCCTTGAAAGAGTCTTATAATATTATCTTTAAGACAGTAACACAATTACGCTAAACAATAATGAATTGTTGGGAATGTACTAGTAAGGACAGGAATAATAAAACAATAAACAATAACTAATACAGTCCAAGTACACACACTATATTGTGAGGACAGGGACACAAATACAATAAACAATAATAGATAAACTGCAGGCACTCACACCATTGTGAGGACAGGAACACTGATACAATAAGAAATAATAAATACACTGTAGGCACTCACACCATTGTGAGGACAGGGACACCTTTATGATAAGCAATAAAATAAATACACTGTAGGCACTCACACCATTGTGAGGACAGGGACACTTATACAATAATAAATAATAAATACGCTGAAGGCACTCACATCATTGTGAGGACAGGGACACCTTTACAATAAGCAATAATAAATGCACTGTAAGCACTCACACCATTGTGAGGACAGGGACACTTATACAATAATAAATAATAAATACGCTGAAGGCACTCACATCATTGTGAGGACAGGGACACCTTTATGATAAGCAATAATATAAATACACTGTAGGCACTCACACCATTGTGAGGACAGGGACACCTTTACAATAAGCAATAATAGATTCACTGTAGGCACTCGCACCATTGTGAGGACAGGGACACTTATACAATAAGCATTAATAAATACACTGTAGGCACTCACATCATTGTGAGAACAGGGACACCTTTACAATAAGCAATAATATAAATACACTGTAGGCACTCACATCATTGGGAGGACAGGGACACCTTTACAATAAGCAATAATAAATGCACTGTAGGCACTCACACCATTGTGAGGACAGGGGCACTTATACAATAAGCAATAATAAATACACTGAAGGCATTCACACCATTGTGAGGACAGGGACACCTTTACAATAAGCAATAATATAAATACACTGTAGGCACTCACATCATTGTGAGGACAGGGACACCTTTACAATAAGCAATAATAAATGCACTGTAGGCACTCACACCATTGTGAGGACAGGGACACTTATACAATAAGCAATAATAAATGCACTGCAGGCACTCACACCTTTGTGAGGACAGGGACACTCATACAATAAGAAATAATAAATACACTGCAGGCACTTACACCATTGTGAGGACAGGGACACAAATACAATAAGAAATAATAGATACACTGCAGGCACTCAAACCATTGTGAGGACAGGGACACACATACAATAAGTAATAATAGATACACTGCAGGCACTCACACCATTGTGAGGACAGGGACACCTTTACAATAAGCAATAATGAATACAGGGCAGGACAGGAACATTTACACAATAAACTTTACAAGAGGTAGGTATGTAACAATGTAGCATTACTCATTTAAATATAAATATATATCTCGTGATCTTTTTCGAAGGACATTAACATACGGTCGGAAATATAAATTGCAAATTTACATTTTTGAATATATTGGCTGCTAATTTAGGAAAGTGTTACTGTTTAAATCTGACCAAGAAGTATTTTACATACAGTGACAATTTTTTAAAATAAAATAGATATGTGTGTGCAATATTGAAGGAGTGTTGATTGACAAAACAGAAAACAGATATTCTTATTATTAACACCAAAACAACACACACACATATATGCGTATATTTATAAATGATCAACAAACAGCTAAAACATGACAAAAATATTTCTAAAGAATGTTTAAGTTGTTTACACTGTTAGTGCTAGATAAGGAAATAGGTTCATCTTATTGAAATGGCCTTTGTCACGAAGGCACTCCACATCCAGTAGCAGGTGACACTGACAGGGCCGGCCTGACAGGGTTCACGAATACATGAATAGCAATTTAGGCGTTAATAGCCGTTACCATACAGCGCAGAAGGATATACAATTAGTCGCCTAGTCGGATGATGAGTTGTGCTTGACCTCATTTCTCAAAAAGAATCCGTATATTATTTCATGTATGAATGTTAATCTTAAATACATATTTCTCAGGGCGTATGCCAGACAAATTTGTAACTACAAGTAAATACTTACTTAAAAGAAATGTTACACGCGAACCGTGACTGGCCTACGATTAATGACCAACTCTAGGTTCATTTACATCATCTATCACTAGACGTTACGCTCTACTCTTGTTTTTATGATGCTGTTAACATGTTGCTCTACTTTATTGTTGACCACCCATGTAAGCAAAGTATGAAAATATTTGTTGCAACCTGCATGTACGTCTTAAAAATGCATTATGTCACAAAATAATTTCAAAAAGTCAACATAAAATGACATTTTAAAACAAAAGTTTTAAAATGCTTCACACTTAAACGTCATTTTAAATAAAAACAACGGCGACAACGAATTCAAATCACCAAATGTATTTAATTGGTATCATTTCATATTTTTTATCATCACAAACTTGATTTGCCGAGAGTTTTTGCCAAATTTGAAAATCCCGAGGGTGGAATTTCCCTATCCTACACCCTTGAGCATGAAAGGGAATTTTATCTCACTCCAACCACCAGAATAAATTAGAAATCATGAAAATGTGTTTGGACTGGCCACAATATCCCATATAAGCAAAACTACATGTATGTTTGCCCAAAAACAATAATCACATCTTTCTAACGTGTACGGTATGGAAATTTTAATGTAGTGTAAACAAAGTAGTAATTTCGAGACGAAAAAAAAAAAGATTGTCACTATAATTATTAAATGAATATGATAATTAAAAAATGAATATGGCAAGGCACCTATATAAACAACAAAATATTTTTTAATAAATACTCAAATTTTGTTTTACTATACAAATGTATATAAAGTCTTTATATATAGTTATGTTTGTCCATTTCAAGAGAATCGCGTGTGTTAAAATTTAAAACATTTTTTTTTTTTATGATAGTGGAGCTGTAAAACAAAATTCCAAAGTTCAACAATGTTTCTTAAATAATTTCTGTCATATAACCTTGATCAGTGTAGTTTTTCATTATATTAGATGTTCATCAGGAAAAGTGGTATTGACAAAGATACTATGACAGAAAATAATTTTTGGAATTAAAAAAAATAAAAAATAAAAAAATAAGGCAAAATTTAAGTAGTAACGTGAACCCAGATATTTTCGTCGGGCCCAATTATCGTGGTTTCCCGAAACACAAATTTAGTGGGTAAATAAATTCGCAGATTACGAGTACCCACTGAAAGGATAATTGCTTTATGTCAAACCTGTAAATTTTTACGGATCAATAAATTCGTGGATTAAGATTACATTGCCCAACGAAATTAAAACCAAACAAAAATGAGTGACTTCGTAGTAAGTTTTAAATGCATTGTACACATTGTCAATAAACAAGATGAAAATAAATATTTTCTAATTGTTTTTTGGAGTTTTTTTCACGTCCTTTTTATAAAATGTATACAGTTTAAGTTCGTATTTAGATGATTTGCCTTTGTCTTTTCCAGTGAGAATATCCAGCGGGTTTGAGCCAATGATGGGCCCGGTGGTAGGCGGGGCTGTAGGCATGTGCCTTGTCATCATCATCATGCTGGTCGCTTTCGTCTGCTTCATCAGGTGAGTGCAGCTGTACTTTATAAGATCTGCTGTGTATCACATAATTCTCGCGAAATTATTTTTTTCACGAAGACAATTTCAATTCTATTTACCAAGAAAATATTATATCGAATTATAAATGACGTTTCAAATATTGAAANGGGAATTGCTGATTTTGTTAAGTTTCTTTCTCTTTTTTTTTTTCTTTTCCTCTTTTTCTCTCGCTCTTCGACTTACTCCTTCTTCTGTTTTCTTCTTTCTTCTTCTTTTATTCATGAAACTTCAATAAGCATTGATAGGCATATAAAGAAACGCGTAACGGGTTTCAGTTCCCAATCTGTCATCAAATAAGGCCGCCGTGCCCTAAAACTGATCGATACATGGGTGAACGTAAATGTGATTCCAACGATCCCTTTCATTTTTTCTGTTTTTACATCAACTAAGTTTGAAAGGGTATTTCAACAATGCAAATTCTTTCCAATGCATCATTTGCAACTACATTGTCAATTTGCAATTGGGGAACTTCTATAACGATCCCCGTTACCATTATAACTTGTCTGTGGTGCTTTGTATTGTAAATGTTCCTACCATTGATGTATAATATTAAAAACTTTTTTTCAGGAAACAGAAATTCTCGGCGTCTTTGAAAATCCGTGGACACCATCATCATCATCCTCATCACCATCCTAATCACCATCCTCATCACCATCACAAGAAAACGTCTAAAGGATAACACGACCAGGATTTCAACATTCATTAATAGAATCTTCCCCTACCTTGAGGGTGTGAAAGAAGAAATCTCCAACCCTAGGGGTGATGTTTTTTGGTTGTCTAACCCGAGGCTCTGCCTGATTTGTCTTAGTTATAATTTGTCTACAATGTTTTAAATTTAATATAGTATATTTACATTTGCTCTGCATCCTTTCATTGCAATGCATTGAGAAGGCAAATGTTATTATGAGACTATAGCAACATTTGCTATTGTGACGTCTTTAATCTCTATTGTGAAGTCGTCAATTTCATTGTATTCAACACCTAATCTAGGGTTCAAAAACTGTTCGAAATAACTAAATAAAGCATAACTATTCTGTCAAAAAGGAAATATAAATAATGAATATTTTAGCAAATATTGTTTTGATCCTATAACACACATTTCAGTTGCTGACAAACTTACATAAATCCCTGCCTGGCTTTATTAAGTTTGTCATCAATAGCACTGTGTGCTCTAGGACCATAACAATATTTGCTAAAACATTCATTGCTTAAGAAATAAGATGACTGAAATACCACTGTGATGTACTGAAGTTCATTCAATACTGCAAATTGCTTATACGAGGTGTCAGGTGGCTAGAACAATACGTTGATTGCACTGTCATTGTTACAATGTATATCTATGCTTACACATATATATCTTTATATAAGTCCCGAATTGTGGCTCCTGAATACAGTATTCATATGCTTTGTGTGTCCTCCTTGTCTACTTCATCCTTGAAATATATTCCGTTAGGACTCCAATGCCAAATCAGAATTGTAGGTTTGACTTATTGAACTTTGTTTTTAACATTTATATAGACGTTAGGGTTAAAAACATCTGGTAACTTTATAAAACAATGACTTAAGTTTATTTCGATTTTTTATTAGTATTACAGCGGAGAGAAACTATGTCCGGAATGGAGATTTTTTTTGTTAAAAATTTCGAAATTTTGAACCAATGAAAATGATTTCCCTTTTGTTTTTGAAGTAAATACTTAGATAGGGTAGAAGTCAAACAATTACACTCTTGAATATTTTGTAACTCTTAATTGCTTTAATTCATGGTAGTAGTATTCAAAATGCCAAATAAGTGTTGGTTTTGTAAGTGCTCTTTTGCTGCTGTTAGGTGATTGAAGGTGTGTGTATGGTCGTGATGACACATGCCGGTAAGGTACATATCTCACTTTAATCTTATGTGTTTTTGATAGATGTTTTCTCAAGCGAACCAAATACATCTGTAAGTCGACAAACGATAAAAACGTCTTCTCGCGAAGACATTAATTAAAGTTTGAAAAAACGAAGGCGGTATTTTAGAAGCAGAGATGAGTAAACATGCAAATAGGGGATATTTACATGCTTGACGTGCTAGCTTTAAATAGTTGACCGATATTTGTATAAAGGGAAACTTTGTAATTATATACGCCCCAGTGGTTATGCATCATGTGCTTTCCGCATGAAAAATTGATATATGTATGAAAGAAATGGCCTGCACATTGACATGATGTATATAGACGTTCATAGATATCCAGATATACATGGAGAGATAGAGAGTGACTCTTTATCAACAATTTGTATGCTTTTTTTAATTTTATAAACGTAGAGTAACTCCCCCTTATCTAATTCACTATTGCTTCTATATGTATTAGTACAAATGCCCATTTCGAATGTGCTCATTAACTGCATTTGTAAACACATGTTTTAATCAATGTATGAATGTAATATATGTACAAATAAATCATTAAAATAAATTCATAAGATAGTCTTATCAATTTTTTGTCATTTAGCATATGATGCGTATCAATCAAACGGTTTCATCAAAGGCATTATAATCATTGTCATATTTATGATTGATTGAAAATTAAACATTCAAGGTTTGTAACGATAAGATTTATTCTAGTGATATATAAAAAGACTCTTGTATACACTTTAAAAACAGGTACTGTACTAATACCATATTTTGTGTCAATAGCCTTCCGTTTCGATGAGAAAGCACAACCGTTCATAAGGAAATTATCGCCTGTCCAATTGGTCGCCCTTCACTGGAAAATACATATAAGCCAAACATACATTTCACTCTCCACATTAAAACTACTGTTTAAAATAATCCGTTCTTATAAACAACTTTCAGGTATAACTTGGGTTTGACATAGATTTACATGTTGGTTGTCGTCGATGAAGTAGAAGACGCTTGCCCATCCGGAACACATGGTCTTATTGTCCTTGTACTTTTTCAATATTGTCCATGTAAATCTTTCCTTTGTTCATACTTTGCCCTATCGATTTTGAGTTTAAATTATGGTTATGTTGACATTTAAGTATTCTCTTATTGTTTTCCAATCGCCTAATGATAAAAATGATTATAACAAAAGCGTTCCTTAAATTTCAAGAAATGTATCCCGGTGTAATAGTAAATTGTCGATATTCCTTGCAGATTCAGTCAGAGTATACTGTATAAATGAAACTTTTGCCAAAATTAAATGTTTGCCCTTCGCCGATAAACTTTGTGTTCGTTGATAGTCAATTTCGCCCTTAACATTTAATTACTACTGTAAAATCACATATTTTCGTGGGGTTAACATTTCATGGTTTTCATATACTAGCCTGTTTTAAGGACATTATATTTCGATGATTTCTGATTTCCCCCTATATATATCATACCAAATTTATGTATTCGTGGGGATTTAATTTCGTGGATTTTTGTTATCCACGAAATAAACGAAATTTAATGTCCCACGAAAATTTATGATTTTAAATTATGTATATTTTATTGAAAACTATTCGTTGCAATGCTCATTTCACTCTTATCACAGAAGACGAACAAGGCGAAAGTTAAACTGCGGCAAAAATTTCCAAGTATACTTTATTTCTATAAGCAATTTATGTTTTGAGAAATGAAATAATTTCATACACAAAACAAGATTTCGTTTTCATTTTTAATTTCTTTTCATTAAGAATATCACGGGAATAAATTAAACCATGTGACAATAAATAATAGAAATGTACAGAGCCTGAGTCAGTAGCTTAACCAGCACTGATCACAGACAACAGAATGTCACGGGAACACAGGCGACACCTTGAGGCCGACACAGAGACACAAGGGAGACAATTACTCATTAACACATGTAATGGAAATAAATAAAAAGGGAATGTAAAACTTAAATACTGTTCTAAAGGTACTATCACTGAAAAATAAAGAATAAATCTGAAATGTATCACGTGAAAATTAAGTTAAGAACATTTTGTACAAACAAATATACTGGAAGAAATGCTACGTTGTTGCTAAGCTATACTGAGCTTTGGTTTTGCATTCGTCACATATATATATAGAAATATAATGCACTTAACTTTGATTGATTAATCACGGGAGGTGATGTAAGTAAATCTACAACAAAGGTATGTCCTTAATATATGTTTGTACACATTATTTATCAATATTGTTATTTCACAATTGATGATATGAATAGGCCACTGTTATGAAACTTCAGAAATGACACTGTCTCATATATACAAGATGAAATGTATGGTTTAACTATATGAGTGGTGAAGTTATTCTGTCGGAATTGTGCCAACGTTCCTCCAATGCTATATTTTCCCCGACAGGTACCTTTGGCGACGTATTGTTGTTAATGCCTGTTTCTCCATCCATACACGAGTGACCAGGAAGTGAATTAGGCATGGTGACAAGCACGTGATTCCGGTTACCAAGGGAACCTCTCCGAGGTTCACAGTTGTACGTAGAACTGTCAATATCGTCGATGTCCGACATTAGTGCAGCTCTTTCTACGAGGTCTTGACCAGAACCAGCCCGGTCAACATTGCGTAAACGTCGTTCCTCAAAGAAGATTCCATTCGGGCCATGTCGGATCTTATTAGCAATTGGTGATTTGAGAAGTCTACTCGAATATGTCCTAGGGGATTCACTTCGTTCCAAACTGGAAGAAAATGGTTTCGGAGAGTCACTCCGAATAGGGTTCACTTCACTTTCTCTCAATATTTCCAATATTGGTTGGTCTGTTTTCATCATTTGAGCGTCGCCGTTGTTGTCAGAGAAAGATATGTCCGGAAGTGGTTCGTCAATCATGTAGTCATCGTTACCATGACGTAAGTAAGCTCGCCTACTCTCACGTGCCCACGGAGAATTGTATTTGAATATTTCACTACACCGGCGTAACCGCTCGTGCCGAACTGACGGGTCTTCGTCTGTTAGCCAGTAAGTGAACAGTTCACCCTTTCCCTGAAATAATTTTGTATATAAAGAAAAATTAGTAAACCACCACAAATTCTGTTCATAAATGCTATATTAAATTCCTAATTTGTTGATGCAATATTCTGTAATGTATTTGATGTTTATCGACTTCGAAATAGTCGATCAGATTTAGTAAATGTTTTAAATTGCACCTACTTTGCGAACGATTGGGACAAGAAGTTTTACGGAGACAAGGTCGTTTTTACTACGGATACTTATTCATGTCACGAAAGATCATTGGAAACCTTTCGGGAAATTCCGTCGAAATTTAAATTTCACGTCATAGTAAGCATGGTCTCCGATTGGTTACCGATTACTCTAACAGTTCAACGAAAATTCCCGAACAGTTTCAATTTATGAACAATCCAGTTCAACATGCTTTCGTAATAAGTTTTTAAGCTAGTACATGTATGTTTTACAGATAGTGGTCGATGACAGTACCTTCATGCTGACTAATCCGCGCTCTATTAGTGTGTAACCGTTCAACTTGTCAAGCAACAGTTTGCATTCCCTACTGCAATGGATCTTGAGAGCTGTAAAAAATAGGAGGATGCGTCAAAACTCTACGGAGGTCTGAACACCAAAGGACACCACCACATTTCAACTCCAAATGGACAGCCATATTTTTAAACACAACATATAATTTCTATCTTCGTTTTATGAAAAGTATAGTAGAATAACATTTTCCCAGCAACAGTATGCAAGAATAAAATTGAAGCTGGATACTTAAGGGCCCTGTCTCATAGTAGTAAAGACACAAGATAATCCCCTTTTCATGGGAAAGATAGCCGGTGATTTTTGTTTGTTTAATTTAAGATTTTTCTTAAAGTTTCCGCAAGGTATGTTTTTTTTCTTTTCAGAAATGATTTAATTAGCTGTCTTTACGGCAAAAACGTTGCCAATTGATATTTATAATCTTAAGCAGCGGTACGGGATTCCTTATAGAGGACGACTTTTGTCACTACAAAATCCGGCATCCATTATGATACTTAGTTCTGATTGATCCAGGAAATCGAACAAAGATACGTTGAACATACGTCTTGAATCATTGAATGCACCAAAATACCTCTTATATGGAAATGAGGTATTAATAGTGACCATAATTCTCCACAGAGTAAATTCAAACATTTCTGATGCGAAACCCTGACTGCCCTTTTTTAGTGTTTAACAGTGTATTATATAGCACGTACTATAGACAGGAATAATGGCGCGATACTGACCTTCGCCATTTGATTCCATCCTGGAAGCCGTGTTAACGGTGTCTCCGAACAGTGTGTACCTAGGCATGGTCAGGCCTACCACGCCAGCCACACAAGGCCCTGAAAACAACACAAAAGTCGTATTAGTCACTCGCTGCTCTCTCTTAAGTCAAATAAGTATGCAGTGGAAGATCAGCGTATAAACTAGAGCAAATTAATTAACAAATTACCAATTGAAAATAAAAGTTACAAATTGCGTGTATTAATAATATATTCATCCTGACAAAATGAAAATTTAATTGAAACTGACTACAGCAAAACTTTCACGGGAGCACACCTTAGTAAGAAGAACGCTTATAAAAAGTCTCATTGCAGATATTTTCCTGTTGAATTGGACCACTAACAATAAGAACCCACTCCATCAATTTCCCAATATAAGTTTTAATGTATTATGATAATGATATTACAAACGAAGATTAATTAAATCCCATTTTGACATACATTTACGGACATGATCCTTATAACAGCTGCATTTGGCATGGTGTATCCATTTTAGCATTTTAGGAATGTGTGCAGATTTGTAACCGAAGCAGATAGTTTCAAGTTAAATCAACATATAATAAAAAAAACACTGTATAAGCAACCTCAAGTTGGCTGCTAAAAGCAAGTTTGACTATATTATATTAACAGATATTACAAACACAGGTTAATTCATACCGATGGGAGTTTTGACGGGGTTGGGACCTGTTTTATTACATTGACCTATTACTAAAGTTTGAATTACCAGAGTGTATGCCGATTCGTAACCGAAGCACCTCGTTCGAACGGTGACGGATTGTGAACTTCTTTATTGCTCTCAAGAGTTCCAGGGACATGGATGCGATCTCGCCTGCATGGTTATCGCCATTCCGGTTAGGGACTCCGCTGACCACCATATAGGCGTCGCCTATTGTCTCCACCTTGTACACGTCATAGTTCCGGATTATCGAATCAAAACACGTGTAAAGGTCATTCAGGAGATTCACGACCTAAATAAAAATATAAATGCTTCATCTTATGTCGTATTCAAAGGAAATGTAATTTTATCAGCACAGAGATGTACACGTAAATATATATAAGATCTTACATGAGTTTCCATTTTATATGAGATTTACGAAACGAGTCTAAGATTTTTTCAATTTATCGAGCCTCTGGCGAGCTTAAATGACGTTAAATGACGAGTTTAAGATCCTGTAACACATGATTAAGATTTGTGGCATTTTTTCGTGTAAAACGACAATTTTCGTGCAACCTTGAAATGTAAAAAGCCGTCATTTTGACTCCAGTGAGTGACGTCATGTACTTGTCCTAGGCGTGACGTCACAATTTAAACAATTGAAACTTACAACCTATCATTGGGCTGATAGAACATATTACTCGAGTTAATACGCAAAACAATATGACATGGGTATATTCACTGGATAACACAGTACATTATGTGATAAAATGATTTATTTCACATAATGAATTACATATTCCATAAAAATGAACGTAGGACACATAAATGGGATTATACCTATATAATTTGGCCAAAATGAACTACACTGCACCAAGCAGTTGCTCTGTCCTTTTAAGACTCATGGGTAATTCTAGTGATAAAAAGGTGGACATCCACATTGGTCTTAATTACTATTGAAACAGAAGAGAACGTACGTAATCTCCTTAATTACAGGTAAACGTTTTATAAAAAAAATCCAATTCGTTCATAACTTTTAATTTGATTTAAATTAATAATAAATTTACTGTGTACAATATAATCCGTGTCTTTACTCAAAAGAGATTACTGTGGTTATAAAGTTATTTGAAAAATGCAACTTATTATCATATCATATTCATTAAATACTCATTAACGACCATACTGTTTTGTAACTGTAATGGTAGTTAAAGGAGCAGTACTTATTCTTCAATGGAAAACATTTACCTAGGGCACAATTTGAGCATTAAAAAAACATAAACTTCAAAACGAGTTTGTCGTTAACGTTCGTACCTCCATGGGAGTACTCTCCGCTGACAGGCGCGTGAATTCACAGATGTCACTGAAGTAGATTGTGACTGATTGGAATGACTCTGGCTCAACGTACTGTGCTCGCTTTAGCTGATCGGCAATAACACTGAAATACAATAATAAATGACGTAATAAATTTGTACAAAACTGCACCAAACGTAAACAAAGTCGTGAAATACACTCAGCGTGGAGTATTACAACATTAAACACTCCTTATCAACAAAATAACTAGTTTATCATTATTCGCTTTTGAAACTCAAGTATAGTTTGGTTCGGCTTGTGTTGTACGTCCCATTGGCAGCTAAGGTCATTTAGGGACGAGCCATCGTTTGGTGGTGGAGGAAAACCCGAGTATTCGCAGAACAACAACCCACCTGTTGCCAGCAATCTGATTAAAATCATATGTTGCATGGCTTCGTTAACTTCGTACTACGCCTGAACATCTGAGTGTGCCGTGGTCAGGGTCACGTTCAGGTGACCTTTATATTTATAAATACTCATTAAATCTTTACCAATCACAGACCCTCTTTCAAAAGGGCGCTCGGAGTCATAAAAAATATGGCGGACATTGATGAGAATGGTGCGAAAGTTCTGAAGTTATTTGAGATTGATCGTCTGAAAACCGAACAGAAAAAGATTATCGAAGCTTTATTACAGAAGAAAGACTGTATGGCGGTACCGGTGTTGCCTACGCAATTATTACCCAATTGATACGGTTTTTTTGGCGTCGTAGAAACGTCAGTTTCCGCCGCCATATTTGTTTTGGAAAACTAATCTGTTCGATGTCCCCTCGCTATTTATCAATCAACCATGATATTCCGATTCGTTGGCAAACGTTTTCAAGCGCGCCTCTGTTTGGTTATCTAAAGGTCACTTGAACGTGACCCTGACCGCGGTACATTCAGATGTTCAGGCGGAGCCATGTAACAGATGATTTTAATCAGATTGTGTTGCCAGAGACTGGCGACTACCCCTCGCACCCGCGGCCCAGTGGTGGAGGGCTAGCGACTGAAGCGGTCAGACGCCTGAACCACTTGGCCAACAAGGCCTCTCTTGAGTGAGGATAATGTTATTCTTGGTAATAAATTAGGAAATTTTCTCAAAATTAAGTTGCCTTGATAAGGACGCAATCGACATAAATTGAAAAACAAGTCCATTTTTATGAAAATTACACTTATGTTAGGGATTAAGTAATATGGTCGTAACTTTCTTCTGTAAAGTTTTTGAAGTACAGAACAATATTGTGGACTGTTTTGCTCTTTTCACATAATTCAGCATACATGTTTGATAACTGAAAATCAATTGAATACAACTTTCTACAGTTCAAAAGAAGTTATGCATTGTGAATTTTACTGCTTTGACAAAAGAGCAAAATGTACTTAACCTCGAACCGAGGCACTATATACCTGGGTAACATGCGGTGCAGTAGCGCTTCCGTCTTTTTCTTTTCTTCAACCAGCAGGTCCGTACGGGCTTCCACCAGCTCTTCAAGATGAGACTGGTATTTTTCCATCATCATCGTCATGTTGTCGAAGATATTCCGCTTCCTGTAAGTAGCAAAACTTAAAACTTAAAGATGTACATTGGCTGATATGTTATACCCAAAATTGTATTACAGTTATCTCCCTTTACTAGTTGTTTAATTGTTGTGAAGCATTTTAAATGGTTTTAGTTTTATCTTGTTTAACGTCCTATTAACAGCTGAGTTCCTATAAGGACGTGCCTGTAAGTGTGCAGGGTATGTTGGTGTTGCCTTTATAGTGATATCTCACTGAAATGCCATGCCGAAGGTACCAAGGACAGCATTCCACCCGGTCACATTATACTGACAACGGGTGAACAAGTTGTTGCCATTCCCTAAATACTGAATGTTAAGCAGGGAATAACAACTACCATTTTTAAGGACTTTGGTATGTCCCGGCATGGCGAGAGAACCTATTGCCTTCTTCACCTGGGCAAACGCTCAACATTAAGGCCAGAAGTGAGGTGTTGCCAAGAAAGGCGTTAGGAAATAAAAGGCAAATAGAAGCAGAAAGAAGGATAAAGACACCAACTATTAAAATTAGTGTATCATTTTAACATAATATACAGAAACATGATCAATTTGATTGAATCATATTTTTATTCTTATATAACAAGGATGCTAAACTTCAAACTTTCTTTTACAGCAAGGCAAATGTTTTCGATAAAAGGTGTTCCGAGTTACCTTGATTGGCATATTTTTATCAGGGAAAAATACCTTGAAATCTCGATTATAAGCCTAATTGAAAATGCGCCGTCCTTAAAGATAAGCCTTGCATTCCTTGTAAAATAGGTTTATCATTTTCGGACTATACTTATCAGGAGCTCATATACACTATGAATATTGCTGTATCCGGTAACATTGAATTTCAGTAAAAGGAGTTTGATGTTTAAAAAACATGTTAATACCATAACTGATCTATTTTACATACGGTCGTGTAATAAAACCTGGTGCTGCGAATGGTTAAATGGTCAAAACCGTGAGGACATCTGCCTTTGCCCATAAAGGTACAACTGTAATTTACTTTTTACATGATACATTTACTGATACATTTACTGATACCTTTACTACTGATACATTTACTGATACATTTACTAATACATTTACTGATACATTTACTGATACATTTATTGCTGATACCTTAACTGCTGATACATTTACTGATACATTTACTGATACATTTACTGCTGATACATTTACTGATAGATTTACTGATACCTTTACTGCTGATACATTTACTGATACCTTTACTACTGATACATTTACTGCTGATACATTTACTGATACATTTACTGATACATTTACTAATTCATTTACTGATACATTTACTGCTGATACATTTACTGATACATTTACTGCTGATACATTTACTGCTGATACATTTACTGATACCTTTACTAATGATACATTTACTGATACCTTTACTGCTGATACATTTATATGATACATTTACTGATACATTTACTGCTGATACATTTACTAATACATTTACTGCTGATACCTTTACTGCTGATACATTTACTGATACATTTACTGATAATTTACTGCTGATACATTTACTGCTGATACATTTACTGATACCTTTACTGCTGATACATTTACATGATACATTTACTGATACATTTACTGATACCTTTACTGATACCTTTACTGATACATTTACTGCTGATACATTTACTGATACATTTACTGGTACATTTACTGCTGATACATTTACTGATACATTTACATACAGTTACTGATACATTTACTGATACCTTTACTGCTGATACATTTACTGATACATTTACTGCTGATACATTTACTGATACATTTACTGCTGATACATTTACTGATACATTTACTGATACCTTTACTGCTGATACATTTACTGATACATTTACTGATACCTTTACTGCTGATACATTTACTGATACATTTACTGATACCTTTACTACTGATACATTTACTGATACATTTACTAATACATTTACTGATAAATTTACTGATACATTTACTGCTGATACCTTAACTGCTGATACATTTACTGATACATTTACTGATACATTAACTACTGATACATTTACATGATACATTTACTGATACACATTTACTGATACATTTACTACTGATACATTTACTGATACATTTACTGCTGATATATTTACTGCTGATACATTTACTGATACCTTTACTAATGATACATTTACTGATACCTTTACTGCTGATACATTTATATGATACATTTACTGATACATTTACTGATACCATTACTGATACCTTTGCTGATACATTTACTGCTGATACATTTACTGATACATTTACTGGTACATTACTGCTGATACATTTACTGATACATTTACTGATACATTACTACTGACACCTTTACTGCTGATACATTAACTGCTGATACATTTACTGATACATTATCTGATACATTTACTACTGACACCTTTACTACTGATACATTAACTGCTGATACATTTATTGATACATTTACATGATACATTTACTGATACACATTTACTGATACATTTACTACTGATACATTTAATGATACATTTACTAATACATTTACTGATACATTTACTGGTACATTTACTACTGACACCTTTACTGCTGATGCATTTACTGATACATTTACTGATACATTTACTACTGACACCTTTACTACTGATACATTAACTGCTGATACATTTACTGATACATTAACTGATACATTTACTACTGACACCTTTACTACTGATACATTTACTGCTGATACATTTACTGATACATTTACTGATACATTTACTACTGATACATTTACTGATACATTTACTAATACATTTACTGATACATTTACTGATACCTTTACTGCTGATACATTTACATGATACATTTACTGATACATTTACTGATACATTTCCTGCTGAAACATTTGCATGATACATTTCCTGCTGATACATTTACATGATACATTAACTGAAACATTTACTGCTGATACATTTACTGATACATTTACTGATACCTTTACTGCTGATACATTTACATGATACATTTACTGATACATTTACTGGTACATTTACTACTGATACATTTACTGATACATTTACTGATATCTTTACTACTGATACATTTACTGATAGATTTACTAATACATTTACTGATAAGTTACTGATACATTTACTGCTGATACCTTAACTGCTGATACATTTACTGATACCTTTACTGCTGATACATTTACTGATACATTTACTGATACCTTTCCTGCTAATACATTTACTGTCACATTTACTGATACCTTTACTGCTGATACATTTACTGATACATTTACTGATACCTTTACTGCTAATACATTTACTGATACATTTACTGATACCTTTACTGCTGATACATTTACATGATACATTTACTGATACATTTACTGGTACATTTACTGCTGATACATTTACTGATAGATTTACTGATACCTTTACTACTGATACATTTACTGATACCTTTACTACTGATACATTTACTGATACATTTACTAATACATTTACTGATACATTAACTGATACATTAACTACTGATACATTTACTAATACATATACTGATAAATTTACTGATACATTAACTGCTGATACATTTACTGATACATTTACTGATACCTTTACTACTGATACATTTACTGATACATTTACTGATACATTTACTGCTGATACATTTACTGATTACTTTACTACTGATACATTTACTGATACCATTACTGCTGATACATCTATATGATACATTAACTGATACATTTACTGCTGATACATTTACTGATATATTTACTGTTGATACCTTAACTGCTGATACATTAACTGCTGATACATTTACTGATACATTTACTGATACCTTTATTACTGATACATTTGCTGATACATTTACTAATACATTTACTGAAACATTTACTGATACATTTACTGCTGATACCTTTACTGCTGATACATTTACTGATACATTTACATTAACTACTGATACATTTACTGATACATTTTCTTATACATTTACTGATACATTTACTGATACCTTTACTATTGATACATTTACTGATACAATTACTGATACCTTTACTACTGATACATTTACTGATACATTTTCTTATACATTTACTAATACATTTTCTGATAAATTTACTGATAAATTTTCCGCTGATACATTTACTGATACATTTACTGACACATTTCCTGCTGAAACATTTGCATGATACATTTTCTGCTGATACATTTACATGATACATTTACTGAAACATTTACTGCTGATAAATTTACTAATACATTTACTGATACCTTTACTGCTGATACATTTATATGATACATTTACTGATACATTTACTGGTACATTTACTGCTGATACATTTACTGATACCTTTACTAATGATACATTTACTGATACCTTTACTGCTAATACATTTACTGATACATTTACTGATACCTTTATTACTGATACATTTGCTGATACATTTACTAATACATTTACTGGTACATTTACTACTGATACATTTACTGATACATTTTCTTATACATTTACTGATACATTTACTGATACCATTACTGCTGATTCCTTTACTGCTGATACCTTAACTGCTGATACATTTACTGATACATTTACTGACACATTTCCTGCTGAAACATTTGCATGATACATTTTCTGCTGATACATTTACATGATACATTTACTGATACATTAACTGCTGATACATTTATTGATACATTTACTGATACATTTACTACTGCTACATTTACTAATACATTTACTGATACATTTACTGATACCCTTATTACTGATACATTTGCTGATACATTTACTAATACATTTACTGAAACATTTACTGATACATTTCCTGCTGATACCTTTACTGCTGATACCTTAACTGCTGATACATTTATTGATACATTTACATGATACATTTACTGATACATTTACTGACACATTTCCTGCTGAAACATTTGCATGATACATTTTCTGCTGATACATTTACATGATACATTTACTGATACATTTACTGATACATTAACTACTGATACATTTACTGATACATTTTCTTATACATTTACTGATACATTTACTGATACCATTCATGCTGATACCTTTACTGCTGATACATTAACTGCTGATACATTTATTGATACATTGACTGATACATTTACTAATACATTTACTGATACATTTACTGATACATTAACTAATGATACATTTACTGATACATTTACTAATACATTTACTGATAAATTTACTGATACATTAACTGCTGATACATTTACTAATACATTTACTGATACATTACATATACTGATAAATTTACTGATACATTAACTGCTGATACATTTACTGATACATTTACTGATACATTTCCTGCTGAAACATTTGCATGATACATTTCCTGCTGATACATTTACATGATACATTTACTGAAACATTTACTGCTGATAAATTTACTAATACGTTTACTGATACCTTTACTGCTGATACATTTACATGATACATTTACATGATACATTTACTGATACATTTACTGATACATTTACTGATACATTTACTGATATTTGACATGCATTTAAAATGAGCTTTTTGACATTATCTTTTTCGTTGCATCTTAAACTGTTTCTTATTAAAAAAAAAAATTAAACTACTTTGCACTGCGCGGAACGAGAATACTATGATCGGAGTACTTTGGTTTTAACTATATTATACAGTCAGCTGAGAACACATAGTTGTGTTTGAAGTGTTTTTTTCAAATTACGAATGTTATGTGATGAATAGAATCTTACATTCGTGACCAGGTTATATCAAATGTATTAAACTCGTTCAATACATTAATTTGACATGGACACTCATGGAAGATCCTCAATTTCTACACGACTTGTCTGCGTTTTACTTACATGCCCTTCCGCATTGGAGACAGAGCTTTTGAGATGACTCTAAAATCAGGACGAAGTTCCGGATCTTCGTCCCAGCACGAGCGCATGCACTCAATGACGTATTGCTCACATTTGAGATATTTGGTGTCTGGACGGAATATTGATTGGCCACCCTTTTTCACATTCTCAATTATCTCTGGAAAGACATTATATATACAAATGTACATGTAATAATTTAATGCCTACATGTATATATACATTCAATTATACGATATTTTGAGATTGACATTATAAGATATGATTTTTTTCTTCTATTTTACATAAGATGTTATCTTTATTAAAAAAAAAAGTTTGATGAATCCATCAGCTGATTCTTGGTGAACGGATGGAACAGAAGAACGCGAAATCGCCTTTTACCAAGACGGCCGGGGTCGATTCCCCGATCGGACGAAAAAAGGTGTAGAATCACCTGCCCGACGCATGGGGTTTTCTACGGGTGCTCTGGTTTCCTCCCACATTAAGAAATCCGCGCGCTAATGTACGGACCAACAAGAATGACTAATGTAAGTTTGTATAACCTGTTTCATAATTGTTATAAAATGAATAAAGTTAATATTTAATATTTAATCATTAGCGCATTCGATTAATAAATCATGAATTAAGAGTTTCTTCCCTTACCTTTTGGTGACATATTACAGTAGCCGTAGGGACCAGCCCTCCCTATAATCTCGTGCAGTATGATACCGAAAGAGTATACATCGCCTTTTTGTGACAAACGCTTTTTCGGTTCTCGGATATGCTCAGGGGACCGCCAGAATGAATCTGAAAAAAAATATATAAATATTAATGTTACAATGCTTTTGAAACAATTACTGTAAAAATCGAAATGTTTGCGGGTTGAAATGTTCGCTCTGTGACTCTTTTAATTTGTATGGAAATATTCGTGTTGGCAGTGGTTCTGAAATCAATAAAACAAAACTTGAATGCGAAGTTAATTTAATTACATTTATGATGTGGGTTCAGATTTTATTTAGAACTATTTTTATATGCGGAGGGACTTCTTAGCTGTGCCTCACGTTTCCTTTTGCAACATGTAATAGGACCGGTTTACCGGTATCACTTTTCAATCAACCAGCTATTAATATATTTCTCTGAAAGTATCATTTAAGCTTATTGGTAATTAAATTAAGAGGAAAAGATGACTTATTGAAATGTATTTACTTCTGTAAAACGCATGCTCATCTTCCATCTTGTATGTGCCCGCTCTGACTTCCAACAGTCCAAAGTCGGCCACTTGTAAAGTCCAGCGGCTGTTGACCACACAGTTTGAGCTCTTCAGGTTTCCGTGTACGTTGAGCTCAGACCCATGCAGAAATAATATACCCTATGGAACATATCATATATTGATCCGAATTATCGAAATAAATCGTAAACAGAGAAAAAAAACAACCTCTGTAGCAATAAAAATGACCGCTATTCGATATTCATGAAATTTTAATTTTTCCATTATATCTTCATAATAAAAATGTACCCATTATTCTTTAACTAAAATGCTATCAGTCACACATGCGTAAATTTATACAGATAGAATGTTTGATTACAACCTGGCACATCGGTAAATTCGATATTAATTGGTTGTTGATAGAGTTGCTTTTAATGATATATATTCCATATTCTTTAAATTACTCATTTCAACGAACGCTTTTCTAGGGGCGGAGCCACACAATTTGAATTTGATCATGAAAAACATATTTCTTTTTATTGTTTAATTACTTTTAATAACTGTATGATAGTGGAGAACCATAACGGTGTTTATATCTAAAGAATTCACATACCTGTATTATATCTTTCACCAGAGATGCAATGAACATATCATCCAGCTTCAGATCTTCGTTTTCCAAGATGTCCTTTAAATCATAAACACGCACGTACACACATTATACTTTCATGAAACTTGTCAAACAGACAACACAATGTTACACAGGGCACAGATACTCGGATCTTCAAGATTATAAGAAAAGAAAGCAGGAATTTAAAAGACACCAAAAAACAAACATGTAAACATCAGGAATGCATTACGTATGCATGGGGCAATACCATTCAACAGTGCTTATTCCATAGTCAGTTATACACAAAAGGAATGACTCTATCTGCATTTCAGAATAATATGGTCGATTGATAGATCAAGCAAACTGTTTAGGATCTTTATAAAAATTTGATAACGTGCTTATTAATTTCCTCTACTTCCATTTTGTGGTTATACCCCGGTATATGTATATATAAATATATATCAGTGTAATTCACATAATTTGTTTTATATATTCTTTTTGAAATTGCATATTCGGACGTCAGGGACATTGCACGATATTTCTATATTTAAGGACAAGTGTTATTTTCATTTCTGAAATTATACGTATATATTTACATTTACATTTGCTCTGTATCCTTCCATTGCAATGTATTGAGAAGGCAAATGTTGTTATGAGACTATAACAACATTTGCTATTGTGACGTCACCAATTTCATTGTTATTAAGACTTAATTTGTTATTCAAGGAACTGTTCGAAATAACTGAATAAAGCCCAAATATTCCATCAAAATATTAATCTAAATAGGACCATAACAACATTTGCTTAAACATTAATGGTTGAAGTAGACATACCTGCAAGCTGCCCTTGATGCAGTATTCAGTGAGCAGGGTGAATGTAGGCGGATCTACACATGCTCCTATAAACGGGTTCACGTTATTGTGCCGAATATCTCTCATCTGAAATTGATCGTTATGGTCTAGTTATTACATTAGCTAATGTCTCGTCAACACGCATGTAATGCGCTTCGAAACATGAATGACTTGATCAGGGTTTTTTCTGAAAGAAATAGTAAGAAAGTATTTTTCCGAACGAAATTGCAAGCAAGAAATACGTTAATAATGTTGATTATCTATGGAATCAAGTTTCATTTTATCCCTTGTTTAATAATTAAAACATTATTTAATATCTAATAAAACAATTATGGACCATCATTTTGGTGAATGTGTAGTTATATTGACCTGAGAACGTGATATTGACCTCGACTTAGTTTTGGTTAATATCGATTTCTCAGGTTCATATAACCATTTATTCACTTCAACAACAAAATATAATTGAGAAATGTACTATGTATGGATGCTAATTCAATCCTAATCTTAAATCAAAAGTTAATGTTAAGTTTCATCCTTTTCAAAGTGTGAGTGATTTATTGTGTATAATCAAGCAATTACCGATGAATGTTTAACGTTCTTCAAAAACCGGTTTTAATTAGTTAACAACAGGGATTGCCTATTAGAAACAGATTGTTTTTTTTAAAGCATTATGTCCTATTTCCTATAATTAACCAACCGCTTTCATTTCTTTCTGCATCTTGCGGCTCAGGACGAAATCTTTCTTTTCGTATAGCTTTAAAGCCACCATTTGTCCCTTGTAAGTAGCCGTCCTGGTGTAGATCTGCATGAAGGACATCCTCGAATCAACCGACTGCTGGCTATTCAGGGAAATCTGGAAGTGATAATCAAAGTGCACGTGATAAGTTATAAATATATTGTATAACATAACACCTTAAATTGATTGTCCGGTACTTATAAAAAAAAATCGAAATGAATAAAACCTTGCAAAGCACACTGAATGACATCAATTTTTTTTAATATTTTATTATATCACGCGCTAATCAAATGAATCTTCGGTGTGATTATATATGGTTGTTAAGCACACAGCATCTGTTGAAGGGGGTTGAGTACGCGTGTTTACCTTACTGCTAAGACTATCGCGGCGATCGTGTGATGATGAGGTCGGGTGAGGCATATGTATCTCCGATATTGGAATTTTCCATAGAAGTCCTGCAATCTCTTGTTCGTAGCGCCAGTTCCTGGAAATGACAAAATGATATGTCAGTCTAAAGACCACCCTAAATTCGCCTTTGATATGTTAAGACGACTAAAATTATTTTATGGTATTGCATCAAGCATACCTCGTGTTGATGACTTTTATTCGCAAGTGAGCAATATTGACAATTTTAAAATTATTTTAAGTCTACATAAAGAGGCACACGGAATAACTGCCTGATAGCATTTATGGAAAGCTGCGTGAAACTTTATGACAAGTTCAGAAATTATGACATGATTACAAAATGTACTGACTGCACGAGAGCAAGAAAGTAGTGACATCTGCAAGACTTACCGATACACCACCAGACCAATAATGATGGCGACCATTGTTATACCTCCAAGGACTCCGCCGATTATTTCAAGGGTGTACCCTAATTGAAAATATAATATTTCAAATTTCAAAAGATAGAATCATTTATTAAAATTATTTGTATAAAAATAAACTTAGATATTTCATATTGAGGCTTATCTTGATGACCTTTACCGATTTTTACTGACTGTTATTTTTGCAGGGTTGAAAGTACAAAATCTGAGGTCATGTGAAGACGGGTGCATAGGCAGAAACCGGTATAAAGGAATGAGTGTTCAGAAGAGACAAGAAAAGATGGGAATCCTAAGAGTTGAAATGGAAGCATATTTGAAATGAGTCCCTTTGTGTTTCTCAATAGCCCCTAAGCAGAGAACACAGAAAAATATAAATTGTGGAGGTACTCAGTATTAATCTTATTATAAAATGAAGTTGGATACAGCTGGTATATTTCTCTCCCCTAAACTGCGAATGGTAATATTGAAACACATTCTGTGTGATTGTTTTTTTTAAAGATGTTTAATGTAAAATATGTCTTACTTTTGACAGGAATGCACTTCTCTCCCCTGTAACCACACTTGGGCTGGTCGATAGGGGGCTCCCCAGTCACCCAGTCAACAGACTGACCAGGAAAGAATCTCAGCACCTGCAAAATGAACCATAAAATGAAATGTGTAAATACTGCGCCTTAGTAAATACGTTGACAAAAACATCAAATATTTGATCTGAGTAATAGAGGAGGATATGCGACGGGTTGCTTATGACAACCAACCGGAAGTTGCTCAATACCGCTGGTTGCCATTAGCAACCCCGACTCATATCCTCCCTTATTCATTATGAACTAATAATAAATGTATAAATTGGGCATCAGTTAAACGTTTGATTAACATGATTTGAAAATAATATATTTCTTTATTTTAACAAGTTTAACTGAGTTTTTGAGTTTATGGAATTCTGTTTTGTTGTACAAGTTCACGACATATACATACACTTGTAATACTGTAATGTTGACTTACGTGATGGCCTGTTGCCATTTCAAAGTGTCCAACGGGTAACATGGCGTATGACGCGGACTTTGTGACGTACGGGACACGCGCCAGTAATGTGTAGTTGCCTTCTGCGTCCCCGTTTGCGTCTATTTTTGTCGTGACTCCAAGGATGCCTATTGAGGTAAGATAATGAACGAAAACAATTGATTATATGTATGAAGGCACATGTACACCTAAGGCACACACATGGGACTACATCTTTTCAAATTTGACAATAGATACAATATCGGCCAAACAATAAGCACACTGCACCACACGGCTGTTCCGTCTCTCATGGCCTCATTGGCGATGCTATAATAAAGGGGCCCAAAGGGTGGAACTCCAAATTAATCTAAACTACTACTGAAACGTAACACACTTAATTTCTATGAATTCAAGGGGTTTTAAGAAGTTTGTTATTTCGTGATAGGCATTTTGCAAACCTTTGATAGTTTCATAGTTATGAGTTAACTTTTTGTGTTACATGTAGTCAAAACGTTCCAATGTTGTTTTTCCAGTCTAGATAATAACTAATCAATGGAATATGAACGTATGTTACGGCACGATTTCTCACCCTGATATTATTTCTCACCCGGGTAAGAAATAATCGTGCAAAATTGCTGCGTTCGCAACACGATTTCTCATCCCTACACGATTTCTCAACCGGGTGAGAAATCGTGTCGGGGTGAGAAATCGAATCGGGGTGAGAAATCGTGCCGTAACGACGAAATAAACACACATGGGATTACACCTATACAACCCTTTATCATACATGTATGTCTACTCGAAATATTAGTATTTTTGCATTACCACTTCCTGTCACTCGTGTGATAAGTTTCTCGTGATGCACCCCCATGCAATAACTACTGATTCTCGTAGTGCACCCCCTGTTCGGAACTCCTCTGACTACATGTTTCCCAATGAAAACGACAAATGCGTTCCGAATAATATACCCTTGATAGAAGGATAAGTGTTGTTACAAACTGAAGGGGGTGTTGAATAGTAAACATTAACAAAACAAATAAAAAATCCCGATTACACCGAGTCGATCTCCGCAATGTCCAGCCAAATCCTGTTTACTTATCCGTGTTTTAGTGACTCAAACTCAAACTCAAACGGAGCGTCCTTACCCGGGTTGCTTCCCTTGTCGGTTGATCAACAGATGAAGGTGAACGCCTTCTCAACTTGTTAGAAGCACGAATTGCAGGGATGGATGATTTAATTTAGAATAGAGATGCTGACAAGGAGAACAATGTAAGGTAAAGAGATGAGAACACTGAACAATTTGTGCAAAGGATCCACAGTGATCACAGGGACCTGAGAATGTATCTAAACCCCCAAAACATGTAAAATAACTCTGTACACCTTAGTTTAGGTCCAAATATGGCTGTAACATATTCTCAGGTCCCTGTGCCTAAAAAGTTTAGGTACAAATATAGATGTAAAAAATACCCAGTTCCCTGTGAGGTTGATCAGATCATTTACACATGTTTTTACTGTTTTGTTTTTTGATTTATTATCAAAAGGACATATGATAAAAAGTTTATGATATGACCATTTTGATATCCTACCCCTTATCAGCCCTCGAGGCTTTCGGCCTCTCTGGCTGATATCAGGACAATCGGGCTGATACGGGGTATGATAAAGTATCAAAATGGTCATATAACAACCTCTCATTAATAAATATAGTATGGCAACAATACGAAATAATGGAGCACCTATTAAGCTGAAGTATAAGACCAAACAAAGTAAACATGTAGTATATATATTTATATACGTTTATACGTACTTTCATATTCTCTGGACAGAATACGATTGATGATTGCTGTTCCATTGATGATGCTGCCTCCTTCGTCTAGCTCCTCCTGGGCAGCTCGAGCATACAACATTACCGCATCATAAAGGTAAGCAGCATACACTGTGATCTGTTTAACAAATATAATGGAGCGCTGTTAAATATGACAAACTAAAAACGCAAGGTTTCTGGTGCTACAGATTGATGAAGAAGACGGGAGGTTTTATAGTCAAAATCGTGATCCTATAGGGAAATATGCTATTTCTTTGTGTGATAAGAAGGTCGGTGTTTTAGATTATGCACACATTGAAAACCTTGCTGTTTCGTCACTGCACCGGTTCTCGTTTTGAAGACGTTGTATTTCTTTGATTTGACCCAGAGTTAAAATGCGAGCGTCGCTGATGAAGCAGAGGACGCCTACCCTTCCAGAACACATGATTAATACCGCTGTACTTTGCTCATACTTTTCCCAACTAATATTTATGGTTCGAATTAAGTTAAAGTTGTGGGACCGCACAACGCACCAAAAATAGCGTGCGCACACCGTGCATGCATCATGCACACACCGTCCGCGCGTCGTCCACACATGGTGCGCAAAACTGTGCGATTTAACAATCGTTCGGCCCGTTGTGCGCTTCTCTCAGCACAAATGTGTGATTTGGTAGAATTGGTTGATCAATATTACAGATTATTATTTTTTCATATTATTCCCGACAAGCGATTGGCCAGAAGGCATCACGTGTCCACCCATAACAACCGATATTGACTTGGAGCGCGTGTTTTTGTTAATTCAAATCTGTGTAATTTTATTTAATCACGTGATAAATTTAGAAGATAAATAGGACACACACAAAGAAGATAACAGTAAGTACCCTGCCAGCACCCACTGCCCACTTCCTGTTTTCTATAACATTTCCGGTTCCTGTCCACTTCGTCTTTTGTTTTGTTAATAGTTTATTCTAAAAGCTTGCGAATATTTGATTGGCGATCCTTACACAAACGAAAACGTATATGTAACAATAGCTGTGTTCGTGTTTGCTTATTTTCTCTACCAATGACAGACTGATGTTTTAAACTACGTTTTTTTAAAAATAAGCTATCCCCTTGGCGCCTTAACTATAATTCTGACGTCATATCCCATTCTTCATGGCTATTGAAGATGTAAGCGATTGGACGTTAACTGAATTACTTTTTGAAAATGATATCGACATATTCGCGTTCCTCAAAGAATCGTTACAATCCTTTGGTGAGAGTTATGATAATTTATAGTTTAAGCAATGCATATTTGTGAACACATTTTGTGCGGGACACTCAAGATGTGTGGTGATTGCGGCTCAAAAGAAAATGTTTCTACAGTATAGCAGTTTCATACAATGTAATGAAACGCATTTATGGGACAAATACAAAAACTATTTAACGAGGTACACATAGTCATTTCTTCCAGGTTTTCAAGGGATGTCATTTTTAAGAATTTTGCAGGAATCCTAAATTAATGAAACATTGTTAGTAGGTATGTAATTACCGACATTATAAACAATAAAATTAGTATGTTTAAAAAAAATCAGCGGCATAGTTCTGATGTATGTGGTTATAAGTTTGAAATTGCTGTGTAACCTATGACATTGCTTGAAACATATGATGAGGCGAATGATTATCAAAGAAACAACTGCAAAAATGTGCGTATTACAAGGTTTTAGCACGTATGTAATTTCACAGACGGACCCTTATTATAGCAAACTTAATATGATTTTATCCAAGTTTGTGTCTTGAAATTTTATCTAACATGTGTTTTTTTTTGTCAGTTGAAATTATTAAATTATCATCATGAAATTTTGAGTTTCACAGATATTATACATCAACATATTGGAAACACGGATCATACTGGATAGAAATCAGATGTACCTTTATACCCTATAGGTTTTCATGGCGGCCTACTGTTTTGTGCTACCCAACCAAAAACGCCAACAGACAGATCAGAGAAAGGAATATTTTTAAAATTATTAGGTAGGTTTGATGTATTTCAGAACTGATCATCACTGGACTGATAGAAAATAAAGATATACCTGTAAGCGGGAAGATATCATCTTAACACGGTTTACGCACCTTGATCTGAAGCCTCAATAAAAACGTCAATGAGACATAAAGTTTCAATGCGGAAAAGGCGACGTGATGAACTTAAAACCATTTATGTTATATTTACCGAATCTGTAAGAAAGATGTGATATTTTTTTTCTGCGCAAAATGTGTATATAGTAGTGCGCGTGATAAACATGCTAGCCGTGTCGGGTGTTCGTTGACCTACTTGTACGCTAAGATTCGCTCGCCCTCTGTATACTCTGTAGCTGTTAACCAGACGGACGCACAGAGACCAGATATATATATCACTATAAAAGGTAGAGTAAGACACGGACGAAGCAAGAAGACAGAAGGAAAGATGAAGAACAGCGTGAGTCCCCTGCATGCCCCCCACTGCCCGACGATACATGTTCAGCTTTACTCATCCTGTAAAACTCATACACATTTTGTTTAAAAGGGAAGGATAAAAACAAATGAAAGCAACTTGAAAAATTGACTCTAATCATGACCAATATCGGCGTGCCTGCGTCATTTGACGTCCATCACATTTGTTCTCTATTCCCTTCAGTCTAAGATGGGTTAATTGAAAGGAAAGATGTACATGTTTCGTTAGTGTTGTTATTTCATTTTTTTATCTACTTCTTTCCCCCCCCCCCCCCCCCGGTAAAAACGGTGTTTTACCATACAAAGACAAAGACAAAGAGAAAAAGGCCGAAAGGTACGTATTTGTAAGTATGAACATGACCAATATATTTGTTCAATGTCCGTTTGCAAACCCCTATGATTGAAACATCTCTTCGTATGTTGTACTTTTCAATAGCTAAGTAAGAAAATAAAAAATAAAAATATCTGTGTGAATTGTCTTTTATTACGCGAATATTTCACAAGGCAAAGTGAAGGCGCAGAGAAGATCGCAGTGAGTACCCAGCATGCACCTCATGTCCACTTCCGGTTACCCCTAACACTTCCGGTTCCTGTCATCTTTCTCCTTTTATATTGTTGATTGTTCTTACTAACATAATTAATAAAGAAATCATCACTCTCCTGTCGGTCAATTGAGATGAAAAGTAAGGAGAGATTTTGACGTTGTTTTAACAGAAAATGCTTGTGAAATACTATGTTCGTTTTTTAAATTTTGACTCATAGTTTATAATCTATAAATAAAGCTGTACTTAATTTAAACAGTGTTTTATTCAGTTATCAAGCAATGTTAGTATAACATGTAATGTCAGACGGATTGTAAAATAAGCTTGTAGCTTATATTAATTCCTCTTCCAAACATGTTTACAAGCAAATACATGTTCGAAACTAGGACACTTTGACTGCAGTATAAAAAGATGATTAAAATAAAGTTTAACGTTAGATCCTTCATGTAGTATCTTCGTCGGCTAAACCCTCAATGTCCGAAACTTTTCCAGCAACCAAGGAGTAAACCAAAGGATGGTATTTACTACAACAATTTAGCTGTTGGTCACAAAAAGCTAGGGACATTCATGAACTTGATTAGCAAAGATGCAGGTTTGTCGTTTATTTACACCAACCATTCATGTAGGGCGACCACAGTGCATGTGCTCGACTCAGCACAAATACCAAGTCGACACACTATGAGTGCCACTGGACACGGGTCCGAATCTTCCCTTAAAACCTATTCCGGTAGTGTGTGTGCTCTTCTATTGAAGACATGCAACTTGACAACATGGATCTTTTTGCATTATCCGACTCACAAACAGATACTTTAATGAATGAATTGCTGAGTGACACTGATGGAGTCGATGACATTATTTCACAAATTAAAATGCCCTCTGAAATTTGCACTATTTGGTCTATAGCACCCCTTCACCTGGATTTTCACACCTTGGCGAGTTACGTAAATGCCCCGGGTGTGGAAAACTACGGGCCAAGCACAGATTCAAAATGGCTATGTTTACCTGTCTACGTGACCGTGTCACTACGTGTACATTTGTATGTGCTATTTTACATGTGTCGATTTGGGTCGCTTAAAAAACACCGTAAACACCATTTCTTAATTAAGAAAATATAAATATAAAGATCAGCTGAAATGTTTAGCTAGAATATGTAAATATATTTAAAATCAAGTTTATGATTTTAAACACGAGGCCGTATTTATTGTTTTAGCCATTTCCCAATTTTCACCAACCACGACTTACGCACAAATGTGCGCAAGCAATGATCGTCCAGATTTCAATCCTTCGTACACTGTTGTGCGTTCCAACAACTGTACGTACAATAATGATTAAATTTTTCTCGTTTCGGATTTAAGTGATTTGATTTTTGGTAGAAATAAAGACTTAGGTCTCAGTTGATTTTATATTTGATGAAAATAATATGTCTTTTCACGCATATTAAATGGAGACACAACATAAATAAGTGACAATCAGATTACGTGACAAGAAACATCCGTATTTACGACCTTATTGAGACCGTATATAGACTGTCGTCAAATAACGGGACTGGAGGGGGTTATAAATGATATGAAATCGTTAATTAAAAACCTTACTTTCTTAAGAGAAAAAGATTTATCATTTCCTTGTATAATGGATGTGCTAGAGGCTGTTCTATCGTTACACTCATTAAAGTAATTTACTGCTGATTACGTATCAAGATTGCTGTAGCGGATTTTATTTTTATTAAGAACATTCCAAACGTCCATTATACTGCACCTTTTTAATTAGAGAGAGGCGTGCTACGTTTGTAATCTGAGAAACATGTTTTCTGTCTAATATTGCACTAAGGTTGATCTTTTAGTGTTTACATTAGTAAGACATATATGAAACGTTCACACACTATTTTACATGGTATTTATATCTGTAGTAGCTTTTTACCGCCCAAGATTTCTATTCATAGAACGAGGTCTGTAACAGATAAAAAAAACAAAAAAAACAACAACATAAAAAACAAGAATTACAGACTCGCAACATTACGTAGCTCCTCCAATCAAGGCTGGGAATTGGCACCAGTCATATAATAATTCTAAATAATGTCTGGACAGAAAAATCTATTGACCAATATTGATCAAAATATCAGTATTTTTGCATTAGTAATGGGATCCAATTCAACTTGAATTATCTATAATCTTATTGTCTAATTTAAGAACACCCGCAGAAGGTTCTTTTAAACTAGATATTCTACAGTAATTTCATAATTTTATTTGAATGTAAAACTCACTGATTTCTTTTTAAATTTATATTGAGAAATTATATAAAAATTGATAGCAGTTTTTCAATTATTAATACTAATCTGTTTCTATTCAAAGTGTTTAATTTCAAAGACTGTTGTCTTCGGGTCGATCTGTTACCGAGTACTTACTTTCTTCCTGATTTTAAATGGGTTAGGGAAATTAAATGGAGGTCTTTCGTTGTAGTCGTTGACAGTGATTTCGAAATCTTCATAGTCTGGGTTCGATGGAGGACTTGATGTTATGATGAGTAGCGATCTGGACGCCTCGATGTTTCGCGTATCGTTAGGACTGCCCGTTGTGCCTGTGTGAAAAAGCAGATAATCAAATCATAACCGGTTCAGCTTCAGCCGTCATGTCTCAGCCCCTATTCAATCACAAACTAACATTTTCTTGTCTCGTTGGAGCACTTTGCCATCTAAGTTATACATGCTGTTTTGAAATATACGTGTTTAGCTTAATCAAATTGTTCTGACGCATCATGTTTCTTTGATTTCATAAACGACTAGTCGCTTAATCATTTAAGATTGGTTTATACCGTGTCTAGTCTTTCATTAATCGATTCATCGATGCGTTTTTCGAGTATATATCTATACTCGATGCCACGTCCTCAAACAGGAGAACAGTTTCTATAAAAATGGATTTTTGCGGTGTATGACATTCCCGTTTTTGCGTGGAGTAAATTAGCACGACCATATTCACAAGCAAATATATATTAATGGATTATATTTATTGTATTTATATAACAAGAGCTATTGTCAACGCGAAAATTTCCTCTAATGCAGTATCTATATAGATATGCCCTTTATATGTATACATCTTGACATTGCCGTTACACATACCTAACTAAACAACGCTAGAACAGAAATGGTGTTCATAGGGCTACAATCGCAATTAGATCAGTGTGAGTTTGAAGCTTCTCTTCTCACTACGAAATTTCTTGAGACCATCGGAAGGAGCAAACATTTAGATGATGCTAGATTGTTAACTTAACTTCATTTATTAAAATATATTCTTTATCTATATGTACTGATCCTTTTCATAAACATTTGCGTTCATACTGACATGAATGTAAGTGTATCAGTTTCATCCTTATTTGCAATTAGTCTTCTTTTTTTTTTTACTTTTTTACTTCTTTTTTTCCCCTTTGTTTTTCCTTATAATATTTCATAAGTCACTTGGTTTTGACAAATACAAACATTCAAAATATTGCTAAACGAATTTTGTATCATGTAAAAACAGAGTTATATATCATATATATGATGCAAAACGTACGCCTGAAGTATTTGAGAGGGTCGTTCACGTCGAACATTCCATGATTGACAAAGATGACTACATATTCTCCCGTGTCCAGAAGCCCGCGGTCGTAGAGGTTGGTCATCAAGTCCACCACTCCATTAATATCGCCGAGAAAAACATACACTGCAAGGGCGAAAACACAAACACATTAGCGATACATTAATAATTTGTAGCACACATTAATGCATTTCACACTTTCACAAAGTTGACCGACTTTATTAGTCAAAAAAATATATTACAAGAATGATGTATGCTGTCTAACAAAGTTTATGACCAGATACTGACGATGACTCCAAAGGAAATGTATTCCTATTGCCTCTTGTCTCTTGTCTTTGAATCTCCTCATCTTTTGTCTAATGTCACGAACCTCCCTCGTACGTCACCACTGATATAGAGTTCGCATATCTCTTTAAATAGATTGCTTTGTCATTATCTGCGGAACTTCATGCGTTATTTTGAAGCTGTGACAATTTACGATAGAATTGCTCTAATCTTATTAAACTCGAAGAATAGAAGGCGACATATGTATCAGCCCATGTGCTCGTAAGCGTAATATACACATTGTATAATCAAAATAACGAAAGGGAACATTGTCACCTTCTAACATATGCATGTACAATAAAAAAAAAGTACATATTTCAAGCGTATGCGACACTGCTTTTTTACAATATCTGTTCCGGGTTTCCCTATTAGAATTCTGTTTTATTTGTTTTACAAAGAACCTCGCCGCAATACAATTTGACAATATGAGGATGGGTTTTAAGATAAGGCACTATAAATACGGCAGCTATATTGATGCGAGTGGATAAGATTAAGATCCAGAGTGCTGTTATGTCCTATTCGTGATGATTCAATAGCGGACAAAAGGCTGAAATCAATTTCGCACTTCGATTTTCTTGTAATTTCATTATACATATATATCGTAAGCACATTTTTTTCAGTGAAACTAAAAATATCAAGATTTGGCGGCGTATGTCTACACTTTTAATTTCATATTTGAGGTCCCACTGCACTGTGTATTTTGCATATATAGAGTTACCAACCCCCCCCCCCCCCCCCCCCTTTATTTTGTTTTGGATATAACTGAAGCACAGTTTGGCCGGGACACTTCCGTTGGCCAGATACCTCAGTTGGTTAGAGCGATAGGACAACAACCTGAAGTCCAGGGTTGGATTCCCGGTCTTGCCCAGCTGATTTTTACACCCAGAACACAGTAGTTGATAACATTTTGTGTATTTCATCTTAGTGACACAGTTTCCATAAAAGCAAGAGAGTTAAAATAACATTGAATCCTGTTTAAAATACTATTATTTCTAACGTTTATTCTACTTCTCTGGCAGTAAAACTGGTTGAAACCAATTGATCGTAGATTACGACCAGGGAGTAAAACACACATTTGCTTGACTAAATATGCACAATCAAAAGCACTATTAACACATTTGTAAAGAAATACACAGTCTAATAATGCCCGCATATTTTCGAGGCTAGGAAGATTAAAATGCCTACAAGTGTCAGCGTAAGACATGGACTAATTTTGCTTTGTGAACACCAGACGCAAACCTCAATAAGGAATCCGTCACATTGACAAATATAAGTACACTGTACGAAAAAGTCAGTTCACTCACCGCGGGTATCAATAAATGTGTTTTCAACGATTCCAGGGAAAGGGTTTCCGGTTGTAAGCGGAATGTGGGGTTCCGTATAGTCCTTTCGGTCATTTAGTGTCATGTCATAGGTATTGGCAAGCTCCAGCAGTTTCTCAGCAATCGTCTGCTGCTTGTGTGACGAGCCGACGATTAAGGAAAACCGACTCCATTTGAAGTGTAATAGGATTGAGATGATGGACCTGGTGACTTGTGTAGCCGGAGGAAACGTCCTAGCAAACGTTGGGTATTTCTTTTTGTCCGATACGTCATAGTCAGCGCATTTCTGAAAGAATATTTATATTCTATAAGGAATATATTTCATTTCAATAGAGGTTGTTGGTCTGTAACCTAGTTAAATTAAATAACCAGGACGACACAGACTATATAAAGCATCTCAAATTTGAGGACAAATAATGAATGTAAAAGAACTTGGTCGGACAGGTTACCCAATAATGTTAACGTCCGATCGGGCAATCGAACCCCGGCTGTCTTCGAGAAAGGCGAGTGCGCTATCGACTGCGCCACCCGACCACATCGGTTGATATGATATAACAAATGTTACTGGTTTAAGAAAAAATGTGATGATGATATTGTACTGCATAACAACATTTGTATTACAAATTATAAACCAATGTAAACAATCAATATAGTATTTTTGAAATGGTTATTTGTTGATGACATTTGAAATTATACGTAACAGATCAATCCCTGGATTTTCACAATCATTAGTATGATAACACCATAACCCCTTAAGTCTATGTGTCAATTTTCCTTCTATGGAGCTCGAGTTTAACCTATTTTAAGACTGTGCTATTTATCATTATAAAAAAACCCACGAGAAACAGCAAGGGAATTAAATGTTAAAAAAAGACCGTGTAATATTGATTTCTTTTATCGTACCATCATGGAAGCGGACATGCTGTGATATGAATTATTGCAATGAATGTCAACAGTCTTAGGTTTTGTTTCAAATCATATCCATAGCTAGCATTCATTAACCGACAAATGTCTTGGTGGTATCAATAACAGGGTAATACAATCATTGGCTGTTCGACAAATTAGTATGAACAGCCGTCGAACTCTTTTTTTTTTATCTGGAGGCAGAAACATACTCTGACCGGGAGCCTTGTTGTGCTAATTGTCTACAGGCTTAGGGCTTTATGGAGCGACGAAGAGGCTATGGAGTCGTCTTACCATCTAGTAAACAATACGGGCAAGATACAAACTATTTTAACGGTCTGCATTAAGTATCGGTTTGCACATACATGTATACGTCTACTACAAAAACTTTTCCCTAGAAACAAGATCCTCATGTAAAACAAGCACGGTAGTCTAGTGGTACATGTAGAACGCGGGGCTCGTGGCCGAAGAGTTGCGGGTTCGAGTTACGGCACGGCACTGTGTTGTATCAATGAGCAAGATACTTTACTCCGCTTGTTCCAGTCTACCCAGCTGTATTTAGTTAATTGACCTTTTGTATGAGATATTTACGATACAGCTTCGTAAAATAGTAAATGTAAGTTAATAGCAGGCTACATTGAATTTGCCTCTGTCCAGTTGTCATTCATATTGTCTGTGAATGCCAACTAAATGATATCTGCTGGAGCATATCAATACTCAAATAAAAACATACTAATCATTATAATAATTTTGTACAAATGGAGGATGTGGTGCCCCTGAACAGAGGGGACGGCCTAATAAGGGAAATAAAGGTTAATCTTCAAAATTCTTCCTCTCATGAACACATGATAATATTTTAACCAAATTTGCTCTAGAGCTTCTATGGGCAGGCGGGACACAATTTGTATAAACGAAGGATGCCCAAATCCCCCCACCCCCTTTGGGCTAAGGGGCAGAGCAGTGGGGTCGAGTAGGTGAAAAAGAAGTATATCAGGGCAATGCATAGGACAAAAAAATATGCATTCATTTCTAATCTATCGAAACGCAATATTACTATACTCGCAAAGATGTAATAAGTGAATAGCAATTCAAGTTCATTCACTCAATTTTCTGTGTAGGTGAACATAGCGAAATGTAATGCTTTTCTGCTAGATGAAGACAGCTCACAGCTGTATACATTAGCTCACATATTAAATCACATGGAATATTTATTGTGTGGTACTGCGATTTGAAAACATGAATCCAATTCCGAGCGCCCATTACGGATAATTTATTTAGACAATGACACAAATGCGATGCGATAATTTAAGTATTTGTTTTTTACAATACAATTTCTAATGAGCTGAAGATGGAAGAAAATTCAGATAATTACTTTGTTCACCACGCAGGAATAAATCGATAAGATACGATTACACATAATGCTTTTTCTAGAAAACTTGAAATTGACAAAAATACAAACGGCCTACGAAAAAAGACGTCGACCGTACATAATGTAAGGAGTGAAAGTCTAGCAATAGCATACTACGCTGTTTTTCATGTTCACACGATATAAAGCTATGCAACTACATAAGATGTATGACATTTGGAAATAGTGAAAGGATCCTTGTGCCATTGCAGGCAAAACACTATAAAGTTCAACTTTAGTATATCCCCCTAACAGTTATCCCCCCTAATTACACTTTGGATAAAATGTAAGTGTGAAAGTGTGGGTCTGGGTCAAGAAACTACCACCGATCAAGAAGTTAGTTTCGACGCAATTTTTGTATCCCATAACTCCATTGTTGACTGTTTCGTTTACCTTATCTGTGTTATTTCCACTGAAAACATACCGCATGGTATGGTTTATCAGAAGAGATTGATTATTTAAAGTCGGGTTTTATGCCAGTAAAACTGTAACAGTTCATAGTTATAGTGTTTGGAAGTAGTATAGGAATTCTTAACAAGAAGTTGTATGCTTTCTATCTAAATGTCATCAGCAATTAGGGTGTACAATAAATAGTGCATCTTTGCGTCGTTGGGTTATGAAATGGTTTCGAATATTTCTGCCTATATACGCCGATAGCCAACTAATATTTGCTTGCCGTTACATATATATATGCTGTGTGGTATTACGCAGTCTGGATATGTTTCTAATCTTGACTATAAACCTTTTGTCTAGCTGATATAAAGGGAAAATCGGTATCTAGCTCAGAACCAGCATTGACATTGTATCTACTCAGTGGAATACTTCATGAGAAATTTACCGCGCCGCCAATAGCCATATCATCCTGTTTGTTCCTGCAGATCGCTATTGTAGGCGTACTGCTATCGACGTTGTTGTGTTTTTTTCAGACACGTCCTTACAACAGCCGAGGTCATTTGAAGATAGATGCCCAGGGAAACAATGTTTACAGTTTTGATCAAAGCGTTTTGCTATTGTGAAAGGTACACAACTCTAGAAGACCAGCGTGTCTCAAATTCGGTCAATATTAAGGATCTGAGACAAAGTTAATGACGTCAAATTGGTGTTATTTATGAATGAGTAGTATTCAACAGTGTGATTGTACGAACACACATGAAAGAAATCCATTTATGAATAAAGATTACTGCCATGTGAAAAATTGCTTGCAAACGATGTGCTTTCTTAATTTTTGGTTTATGGTCTGTCTTCTGTATAGATTTGTTTGTAATATTTAATTGTACCACATACATACTAATGACATATGATTGTTTATGTACTTTCTTACTCCGTCTTCCTATTGATTGCTAAGCCTGTTAACAGTTCAACATAATCATTTTTGACAATAACGTATTGATCGAAATAGTTCCTCTTTAAAGCCATTCGCCGACAAATCCTCTGTTTACATTTAATCAATATTTGTGTCATCATGTGGCGCGTAGTCTCCACTAATGACTGAAAACTGTCACATAATGACACATCCCACTTTCTTAGCAATTACATATTTACATTGGGACCTTTAAAAATCACAATGAGGTTAAGACCAGATGTTCCGGAAGAGTTACCGTCTGCTACTTCACCGACGACGATCCGCTATATGCATTTACGTAAAATCAAAGTAATGTTACGTCCTTACATTGAGAACTCGGGTAGTGACAACAAAAACCGAATTCACTCTAATGAGCATAATCAAAAGCGTCGATCTTCATATCACACAAAGGAAAGCATGTTTCCCTGCGACATCAAGATGGCGACCATTAAACTTGTTTTTAATCATATGCATCTTTGGAAACAATGTGTTGTAATTTTGTCCGTCAGCAGTTGACATCTTTTACGACACCACTGAGTGCCTAATCAACTGCGGCATTTACAACTGTTGTAGGGGAAGCAGTGCGAAATATAATATTATTTAAAGGGATTATAAATCAGTTTGAGATTTTTTTGGAATCAGACGATACATCATAATCAGGAACTAAACAATGAAGCATATACTTGGAGAGGGCGGCTGATGCATTTCAAAACGAAAGAGTGTGTGACATTGTCGTATACAATCTTTTTGCAATGTAATGATAATGATACTCCAGTTGTACGTCACATGATACCATTTTGCTCAAGATATATAGTCGGAAACAAACCGAATATAAATAATAATTTCCAAAATATTGCATGAATTAAATAAGTTTTATGTTTTTCCCCATAAACGATATCACTTTCGATATCATTGTGATATTTATGGTTCTAATTATGATTAATTGTCGATGGGAAAGGTCAATGTCAGGACATTGTCTTCCTTTAAGCGACTATTAACGTACATTTTTTAGATTATTTTGACGCTAGACAAGCTTTGTGACATTTGATTTTGGCGATTTGTCAAAAGGAAATTTTACAACAAAACACTGGCACCGATCGAATTATTCATATTTCAAAAACAACCTTGGAAACTGACGCCAGAGCTTGCTCCCGTAGCCATTACGATGGTAAATGATCGACAATATGGCTCGGGTTTTTGAAATAAGTTTATTGATATGTACTATTCTTGGCGGCATATATATATGAACTAGACAGAAAGTCAATAAGTTCCGAGTTGAACATTTTGAATTAATTGTTTTAGTTGTCAGTTTGGCACACCCTTCGCTTGTCCTCCACACCCTCCCATTTACGCGCGTGCACGCATATGATACATACTATCTGACTTCTAAATGGGATATTCTGTTTAAACGCATGATACTAGACTTCAAGATAAACACATCGTTTGTACTTAGCTTGACTATAATGACTGTGCTTGTCTAAAACAAGCTTTTGTTTACTGCTGATTTTTGAGATAACAAAACACCAAGTATGTAGAGAATATTTCATATGTTTCCACTGAGTCCAATATGTTCCTCTAGTAATATGATCAGCATATTGATTTAATGTATATCAGTGTTGAAAAACACCATCGACAG